CCTAAGTGTAAGCACTGGGACTGGAACAAGTGTCTCTGCAACGACAAGCATTGTGATCGAAAGGATTGGAATTGTAAGGACTGGGACTGGAATAAGTGCATTTGCAACGACAAGCCTTGCCAGAAGGATCCTAAGTGTAAGGATTGGGACTGGAACAAATGTGTTTGCAACGACAAGCCCTGAATAATCTTCTGATGATGGCAATTCAACATTGTCAAAACTCTGGTCGAAGCATTCAACATAATCGACAGTCCATAGGAAAAGAGCCGGGTCATTGGATAATGAAGATAATTTGTCGAGTTTATGCCATTTGGGCTTCTGAATGTACCTAGTTAGTGTTGATACGATCAAGTAATCTGTCCTCAGCGCTTCATTCTCATAACCAATAGGCTGAAAGTCATTATCATTAGTTCCTTGGTATACTGAGTGTGTCTATATTTGTTATAGACCTCGCAATAAAAGGTCATGTCCAAGTCGTTCGCCAACCGTTCCAAACCCGTAGACCACAGTCCTTCTATCTAGATACATTCGTGTTACTTTCTTTGTCCCAAACGTAAGTGTTGGGGACTTTCTTGAGTTCCTTTGCAGGTACTGCAGCCCGACAACGTGAATGCGCTTCTCCAATACCATCCCCATCTCTATCGCATCTTCTCGATACGAATGTTGAATGGGACTCGACGTACCAGTAGTTACAACAAAAATGGCACCGCAAAAACAAGCCAACGCCAAGAAACACCCAATATCCTCTGCAGCCATCACATTGTGGCCAAATTGATTGAGGTTGGAGTCGACATTGATTATAAAATCCCACTGGAGTGAGTCGGCTCTCGCTCTTGGCTAGCGGGGACCATTTTGCGCTCATCCAGAGTTTTCATCCCCACAAGGCTGATCTGTTATACCTTGATTTGACCGACTGCATCGGATGGGTCATGCGGCAATTCAGACTACTAAGAAGTTGAGCATTGGTTATTTCGGGCGATACGAAAGCTCGTTGGTATAGAGAACCCCGTTGAGAGCTTCATCATAAAACGACACCTCCGCAGGATGCTGATATGTGCGACAGAGAGAGGTGGTGAGGGTGGAATACAGGAATACATTCCCTCTTGACAAAGAGGGAGTTGATGTCAATAATGTACCTCTCTGTCAAACTTTACCCCCACTAGTCGGCTCCCTTGAGTCTGTTCCACAGGGAAGTTACACAACCTTGGTCGGTACACTTCAGTCTGCCCCAGAGAATTCTGCTGGAAACTGGAACTGATCCCAGTATCATAACCCCAATTAGAGACCCTGCCTCTATCGGCGCGCGTGTGGGTATATATGTAAATCCTATTTCAGTTGCTATTATGAATTATCAGAGTTACAGTCTCATTGAGCTACTCTCAGAGATGACTTTGGTTCAAAGCGATGCATATAAGAACACCGATGGATTCCGACTTCTAGTGGAAATGGAGCATATTATACTCACGAGCTCTCAACACGGCCGAGTTTTCTGTATTCGCGCGACTCAGGATAAAATCACCCTGTCTACTCCATATAACGCGATCTCACTCATAAGACCCACCAACTAAACCTTTAGCGCTCAATTCCTATAGAATCCCTTTCAATGCTAGGTCAAGTACATACGACCACAGGGTGTGGAGAACAGGGCTTCCCGTCCGCTCAGCCGTACTTAAGCCCATTATTCTGCACGGCCAGTTCTTAATGTGCCCTTCGTACCTAAGCGGCACTCTAGGGTGAGTGTAGGTGAGAAGTCTGTAGACCGGGGTGAGAAGTGTGAGAACGGGGTGAGAACGGGTGATAATTCTCACCTGGGGGTAGTGCATAAAATTGTAGCTATAGTATGTTACATGTTCCCGACAGTAGCGTGTCTTGGCCGCATTAAAGCCCCAGTTTTCAGTTCCTGTAAATACGATCGGACACAGAGCGGGGCCTACCTCCTTACTTCGTACATGCACAATACAACAAATTGCCCACCCGGAAACAGCTGGCTGAGTACAGAGGAGCGGCCGGGCACGCAAGCCGCGGTGTCACACCGCAAGCTCATACATATAAAGTGGTAAGACCACAGCCCTAAAGAAATAACTGTCTATCTTGACCTGGAATCTAGCCATTCACTACTAACGCAATGCTAGTTGAGTATTTAAACACCACGGCTCTTGGGGATGAGTCGCCTCCAACGGGGGTCAAACAATACACGACTACGAACCCACCTCCAGCAAATCTACAATCGTGAGTTTCCCTTCTGCTGCAGCTGGCCTCGTACCCGATACAGGAAGTAAACTGAAAAGCTTTTACTAGGTTTTTCGAGAAACGGAACCAACTCTTTACAAAATTTGACGATGGAATCTGGTTGAATGACGAAGGTTGGTATAGCGTGACCCCCGAACATCTCGCAGACAAGATCACCAATCGCATCATCGAACAACTCCGATTACACGATCAGGAAGGCGCCGCCTCAACTAAGAAGTACCACCTTATGGACGCCTTCTGCGGCCCAGGCGGAAACGTCCTTTCCTTCGCTCGTCACCAATCCGGCGTCTCGCACGTCACCACCGTCGATATTTCCAAAGATATGTTGCGGATCGCCAATCATAACGCCTCGATCTATCAGGTACCGGCCGGTTCAATTCGGTTTGTGGAGGGAGATATCTTGCGAAGTTCTGAGGAGCTGAAACATCCTTCCCGATCGAAACTGAGAGGGGACTGGAGTGTCAAGCACATTGACGCAATTTTCATGAGTCCGCCTTGGGGAGGTACGAAATACAAGAAGCGAGAAGGAGACGAAGGATTTGAGACTGCGCCGGCGTTTGACTTGGATGCGATGCCAGTTCCAATGTATGTCTTCTCCATCAAGTCACGGTCCATGGCATGCGGCGAACGGGTTGTTCGGGATAGACTTAGCATCGTTTGGCTGATAACATATTTGTTTAGTGCTAGTATCATCGCTGCAGCCAAACCCATCACCCCGAACCTGGCAATCATGTTGCCTCCCACGACAGACCCGGAAGACGTGAAGAAACATCTGGACGGCCTGCCCATTGAAATCGAGCAATATATTGTAGATGGGGTACTGAAGGTATGATAGACGCTGTTGAATAATATTTCACACCTGCTAACGCTTTTGACAGTTCATTGTCGCTTTCACTGGAGATCTGGCAAAGTTGGGTTCATGAAATTAAAAGGAGCTTGAGCAATACGACATCTCTTGAAGTTTGATGTTCCTTCATGTAGCCTAACTCCGCTAGCTTGGAGCACTGGTCCGGTTCGGCCATATTGCTATATATTTGCACTGCCAATGTTGTTGCAAAAGTGTAGAGCCTTGTGAGATACTGTTAGGATAGCATGTTTCTCTTGGATGGGCTATGCGTCATCGGTATCATGTAAAGTAACGTAGTCCAAAGTTTAGTAGTTTGTGCAGAAGTCAGGGAACTTGACTCAAGACCAACAAAGCTGAAAGAAAACAAATGTACAAGTACTATTGGGAACGGCACATATTATTACCCCAAATACCGGTTTGCTTAAATCCCCATCGATAGCAATAAATTTTTTTTTCTTTCTTTTTTTCTTTTTTAAAAAAGAGCGTAACACGCTGCTCGGGCGCGAATTGAGATCTGTACTAGTTCAAAACAAAACAAGTAATTTGCCAAGAAGACGCTAGTCCCCGCCTCCACAGTAGTTCTTCAGATTCTCTTGTGCCAAGTGTATAGTAGTTGTGTTCTTGTGAAAAGGGTCACGGTCCATCATATAGATACGATGAGCAGTGCGAATTGGTGACAGGACAATACCGATAAGTACAGGTGCTCCACCCCGAGGCGGAGTTCAGCTCCACAGTTATTCCCCTTTATTCAGGGCGGGGCACGTGATAGTGGCTGCATACCAAAAGCATACTTAGCGATTTGTTAGCTACTACCTTCACGGAAACATCTGACCTCTCTGTCTTTCTTTTATTACTATTCTTTTTGTAAGCGGGTCCGGTAATGGCTTTGAGTTATGTATATATGCAATGTGTCGTGTGATTAGTTACCACGTATGATATATTAGATACAAGTCTTTTCATGCAATCGTATTAAATACCTTCGCTTTGAGGTGCCGCAAGATGGAGTTTAAGCGTTCTTGCATTTCTGTCCTAGTCTGGACCCTGGAGAGCAAAATTTCTTTCAGTAATTTTCATAATTTCCACACCGTTCAATATGAAGCTGCCAGAATCTTCGCTTTCTTGGCTGCTGCCCTTCTGTGTTTATATCTCCGGTGCAGTCGCGGACATTGGTCCCTATTTCGGGTCAGCCAAGTATGATGCAGGAGAATTTGGGAGATGGCCACACCAATCGTTTCGCTCCTCACCTATCATCGGGCCCGTATTGAACATTCAGCAGCATGATGCCGAATGCGAGAATGACGGATTGCTCCTGCTAGGGCCCGGGGGTGATGAGGTCTTCCATTCCGGTCCCACGATTATCGATCAACGATATCAACTGGTGTGGAATGAACCCCTCTACGGCAAATCGTGGGCAGTAGACGTCAAGTATTTCAGAGGCGTACCTTACCTGACATTCTGGGCGGACAAGCACGGTGGACAGAGCAACGCCGCTTGGTACATGGTAAGAATCCGAGGTCTATCAATCTGAAGCTGTCTCTTGTGTCTCCCATTCTTTGTCTCCATACTCATAATTCATGTCAGTTAAATTCCTCATACGATGAGGTCTACACCATTCACCCTGCCGGCGGCTGGAAGTCAGATGACCATGAATTTGATATCACACGCGATCAAACCGGCATTGTCGCCATTGAGATGGAGGTTCCGTTCGACTTGTCCGCCGTTGGCGGTCCGCGCGATGGATGGATCCTCGACAATGGCTTTCAGGAGCTGGACATCGAAACTGGAAAGGTGTTGTTTCAATGGCGAGCATCGGCACACTGGGATTTGGCCGAGTCATATCAGAATTTTACGGAGCACAATGGGACTAGTCAAGAGGAGGCTTGGGATTTCTTCCATCAGAACAGCGTACAGAAAGACTCCCGAGGCAATTATCTCATCTCATCTCGCCATATGAGCACAATTGCCTATATCGACGGGCAGACAGGGAGTGTTCTTTGGAAACTTGGTGGCAAACAGAACACGTTTTCGGATTTATCGGGACACGCGACGGATTTCAATGGTCAACATCACGCCAGGTTCCTAGAGGACTGGGAAGACAGAAAGACAGCGACAATCAGCTTATTTGACAACGGAAGCGGCGGCCGAGCACAAACTCACCCGACCTCGGGCAAAATCGTTAAAATTGACGTTGAGAAATGGACTGCACAACTCAAACAACAGTATTCCAACCCTCATCATCGTGTTAATAGCGTCAACAGAGGATCGACGCAGGTACTTCCTAGTGGCAATGTTCTCCTTGGATATGGCAGCGCGGCTGCATGGTCCGAATTTTCTGCAGACGGAGATCTGCTATGTGATGTGCATTTCGGGCCTCAGTCGCGATTCAGCCAAGGCGATGTTGTATCTTACCGTGTTTTCAAACGCCAATGGCTTGGCAGTCCGAGAGAGGGACCGTCTCTTTCGATAGCGAATGACATTGTCTATGTTAGTTGGAACGGGGCTACAGAGGTGACGGCATGGGAGCTCCAAGGATCCAATTACGCTGGGACTTATGATGATGCTGATTTTTTTGCGCTCAAAAAAACCCAGAAGGCTGGGTTTGAGACCGATATCTTGCTGCCGAAAGAGAACAAATACCAATATCTTCGAGTCGTTGGTCTAAATCAACTGGGGAAGAAGATAGGGTATTCAAGCATCATTGACAGATATCCACCAACCCTTGTCGCTCAGTCATAACTGGTAAGCGTCCTGCATCTTTTGTCAGGCGCGAGGGCTATACACAAGATATGGAGGAGATCAGAATATACGCTTTCTATCATCAAACTACAGTGGTGGTATGGATAGACGTGGATAATCGAAACAAGACATAACCTCCATAACAACTGCTTAAACATAACCCGAATAGTTTCAAAACAAGTACCATATATGAATCTTCTGAATTGGTTCCTTTTGATAAAAATCTTTGATTCTTGTTATGAAACTCAAATAAACCAGACTATTCAACCGGGCATTACCTCCAATTCTCCCAAGCGAACTCTTTAGAAAAGACTTCCCTTGGATCTTTTGCCAAGCGCATGCCCGTCGCAAGGTTCAGTAAGAATACACCGGGACGCAGAGAAAGGTTTCTGGTCATCAGGGCAGAAACCAGCATTCCATGACCCAGTACCTGTTCCCTGACTCTCGAATTCATCGTATCTTCCTTCTGAATATCCAAGATATTGAAAACTGGCCGGACAATATACTCCAATTTTGCTGCTGCAAGGCTACGGTCAAGTAGGGACATTTCTAGTTCACAGTCGATGGCTATACCCTTCTTGTCAATGTTCCACTGCAGCTGCATGCCGTTGCAAGTAGAATAGTCTTTGCAGAGACTAGTCGTGCAGAGATCTGCAAAGAGGACTGGCAAAAAGCAATCGACATACAGAAAGCTAGCCATGTCCACTAATGGTGAATAGAAGCCGGCCTGGCTGTAGTTGATGTATTTTAGCCCTGGCATTGTTCCCTTGCCAACCCGGTCGTCAACCAGGACATTGCCGCTGTGTCCTCCAAGGCCGAAAACCGTCGGTGCATTCTCGAAATGAGGCGCCGTGGGGTCCAAAAGGTGTTTCGCTCGGTCCAACTGATCTTGGAGAGAGCCGTAGCAAACGCCATTGACGCTAATGGGAAGGCAAAGCAACTCATTCACGGATATTTGATTTTCAGCTGCCAAGGCCGCCAAAGGAGTCCCTGTCTCGACCCAAGATGGTTGTACCAAAGTCTTATATAGAGGATGAGGTTGCACTAGGCGGCGAGTGGGTGCATTCTTGCACGTAAAATTCTGCGACAACCAGGAAGCCTGATAGGTGCTCATGATATCCTGCGCCACACACGTTTGAATGCTCAACAACCACCGCTCGAGCCGGTACGGTTCCTTGAGCTTCAACTGTGCATCGGAAAATGTGTCCATCCGCGTAAATTGAATGCGGATATCCAATAGCCGGCTGCCTCCCTGGTAGCTATAGAATGCCTTGTGCTGGTCTGGGTCAATAGCTACAAGCTTCTGGAGCCTCTCAGCAGGAAAATAGGCGTAAAGAAAGGGTAAAGCAGCCAGTTCCAAAACAAAGCAGTCCATCTGAGTTTCCAAAACATGATGTTTTTGTTTCTCCCCATTGATAAGCAAGGTTGCCCTGTTCAGTGTGTTTCGGAAGGCGAGGGCTTCAGATGGGCGAATAGGCCAGTGTTCTATCGCGTATTGCCCCTTCAAAATAAGATTCACCGCAAACCTCTGGCTGAGTGCCTGAGGATGCTGCACGGGCTTGTACTGCTCCTTGCGTAGTGGCTCGAACAGGATCGCTCGATAACCCCCCTTGCTGCTGTTGAAGGGTGCTTTTGAAGATATACAGATCTTGTCATGTTTTTCGTTGGAACGATGAAACTCATGGCGAAGCTTCATGGCGGAGTACGTACTGATCAAGTACTCCCTGAAGTGACCAGGGAAGGATTCCCAGCGGTATAGTTGGGGTAGGAGGCTCTCGACGCTTGTTTCATCGCTTTTGACCAGCCACTTTGACAAAGTCCTGGCTTTCAAAGTGCTACCCAACCCCGGGATTGACTCATACACCTCGCGAGACGCAAGGAGCAAGTCGCACATCAAAGCAGGCGAAGTTGAGTATTGAAGCTTTTTGCCAACCACATGGGGAATTGTGATAAAGTCATCTTCGAATCGCAATGACACATCATCGGTCAATCTGATCGCTTGGCTGATAAGGAGGCCAGATCCGTGGATAGGATGGTTTGACTGGATGTTCCGAGGGAATTTATGGGCAAGTACTCCAATTGCTCTGGTTGACTTGTCCTGCATGATTGTCTCGAGGTGATTCCGGGACCAAATTTTCATCGCGCGGTTTGAGCCATCCCGTGTCCAGCCAGATATTGATATTACGTCCCAATCCAGATTTCTCACGGCATGCTTCGGTGGAATAGTCAGGTTCTCGTAAAGGGCAATTCGTCTTGTGACAATCACTTACATTCCATGTCTCCGGGGATCCGTCGATATAATCCACCTTAAGTAGCTGCAGGAGCTGGCTTTTGTGGCGGGTCATGAGGTTAAGCAAGTCTTCCCTAGAGTTGACAATGCCCAGTCCATCCCAATCGCTCCCACTCTGCACCACCTGCTCAACAGTGACCCTATGGGCCGCACTGCCGCCTAGGAAGATACAGCAGAACCCTAATTGTTCCAGGTCGATTGTACTATTCAAGTACTCGAGTCGTAGGGTCTGTTGCGGAATCATTGTCGCTTGCACGTGTACTGATGACACCATCTCGGTGGATTATTGCTAGGCGTATTTTCGCTCCTGGCAAGTTGGAAGTAATATAAGCCAGCTTAGGATCTGCAGATCTGGCCGGTAGTCAACACGGAAGAGAATAAAAAAGAATCAAAGCGGGCAGGTCGAATCGGTCGTTGAGCACACTCAAGTCTAAATCAATATTGGAGGACGCTGCAGTGTACTTGACTGCTGAACTTAGCAGAAGTAAAACCGTGAGCACTAATGCATTAGACACTCGATGTTTTCAAAGTGAGGATTGGTATCGGTATGTATTACATGCTCCACGACTTGTCATGCAAGGAATACAAGAGAATATTTGGGATTGTACTCAGGTGTGTGATGTAACCGTCTTGATTCACGTATATGACTGCTTCCGTACCCTTACATATGGCCAGCAACTGATTATACGTTGAGAAGTACCGCCATGAAATGCAGTAAGTGCTTGGACACTACTGTATTCACTATTGGGGTTCAGCTCCACCAAACTGCACCGACAGCTGAAGCACTAGGTAGATCCCTGAGTACATTCAAAAGCAAAACCGGATTCCAGCCACCAAACATCAGTCCAATCTAGTCCCACTTTTAGAGGTTGCAATGGGACGGCCCGTATGGGGATGGAGGTGGCACTGCTGTGCACGAACTAGTCCCCATTTTGTCCAAACTTTCAGGCTTCTGCTTACGGCCAGCTTGTAACAAGACCGGTAACTGGGGGATCTAGGGACAGCACAGACAATTTCCAGCCTAAGTAAGAGAGAGCGCTTTACCAATGTGAGGAAGTGACGGATCGAAATCTGAATACGAGATATCCGTGTGGAAGATTCTCCACTTAGCAACATGTATCCTATTATATGTAAAATACAAGAATACTAGTACATGTAATGTGACCTGAAGATTATGTCGGCTTGACGCCATTTAGCTATCTCGAAGCTTATTATGGCAGTGATCAACTCAGTCACGCGAGCATGTTCCTGAATCTAGTGCATCCTTCCTCGATCCTTCACAGCCCCTTCAACTACCTTTCTTTTGCTTTTCGTAAGGACTTTGATCCACCCTGTAAGTAGGCCTACGGCGGCCGCATATAGTGAGACCTACCTCTAGTAAAGTAAACGCGCTATAGCAGGTTCGCTCGCTCAATAGAAAGGCGGTGAAGTGGTGCTAACACTTTGGATGTATCACCTAGACCTGGAATTAGTGCCAATTCTTTTACCTTATATTACCTTACCATGGATTTAAACCCCGTTCCTGGCTCCATGAATGCCGTATCAGATTAGGGGCGAGCCAGATTCAAGATTCCGCATAAAGTGGGGCCAACTTGTACCCTAACCCATATCCTAACCAAGTACCTAGATTACACAATTACAGCTATAAATTCGCCCAAAATCACAAAACCGTACATGATATACGAGCAACAGCTATTGTCAACATCATTGCGACGGGAGCGGTAGGAGAATCTGCCTATTTTACTTTCTCGTCAGCGCAATAGCTAGCATTGATATCAAAAACAGCCTGCCACAATACCAGTGATGGACAACAACGACACTTCCAACGACATCATCCGTGATGCCATACGCAAATCAATTTCCTTCGGTATGCGCGAGCGTGTCTACGACCAAGCACAAATGAAAGCCTTGGAAAGTAACAAAGTGATTGTTATCTTCGGAGCCGGACGATTTTCCGAATGGAGAGAAATGGCCTTGGGTCCATTCTCATATATTGCCATTGATCCAAATATTGATACCTCACGACTGAACAAATGGGGAAGTGGTTTTCATGTGACACCCTACAATTTTTCGGAAAGCTTTGACTCCCAAATGGAGGCCGCATCTCGCAGGCCATCCACCGTCCTCTGGGCCAGATGCACAAGTGAAGATTTTCTAAGCAAAAGCTGCCGTCTTACTACAATGGCGTCACTCGGTGTACCTGCGGTTTTTCCGTTCAGTGTTTCATACCATGTCACTGTCATCAACAGACTCGTCGAGGCAAACGTCTCGGTCTACGGGTGTGGTTATGTCCATGATGATATGCCCGCGGCTGGTGTAGGCTACTCCCGCGCATCGATGACACCCCGATTTGATCTTGAAGGCCGAATGATAGATGTGACTGCTGCAGTTGGGAAATCAGTATACATAGAGCCGGTACTATTCACCGATTCGGTCCCTGGTATTGTTTGGGTTAAGGAATCGGCCCCAGATTTGTGGCAGGAGATGGACGAGAAAACAGATGCTTTGATGAGAAGGGCGGTTTTTATGTTCTCGCCGGTTCGGTAATTGAGACCCAATTGCTTTTTGGACATTGTGTCCTAGCACATCGGCGTGACGAATATAGCGAGTTTAGGATGTCAGAGCTTTCATGTGAATTCATTTGTTGCTCCCACCGCAGGGGAGGGAGATTTATGTATTAGGTGTATTAGTTCAAGAATCATCAATTTCAAATCATCTGAACTACCCAGTTAATATGTATGATCTTTATAGGCTCGGACACATATCTAGACAGTACACAGCCTCTCCAGGCAATGAACAGACTCCTTTTTTTGAGCCATCTGCGCACCCCATAGAGGTGCTCGCCCGTGTGCATCCTTCAGCATCCTATCAGCCCCAGCCTCCAGCAAGAGCTCCATGGCTGCTAAATGCCCATTGGTGGCCGCCCACCAAAGCGGTGTTCTTCGATGAACATCTTTTGCATGTAGGTTAACATCCGCTCTCCTCAGTAAGATGGCCACCACTGTTTCATGACCCCGTGACGCCGCCCACCAAAGCGGCGTGCGACTGGTGATATCGGCTCCATCGGCCTGAAGCCGCCCATCTTTCAGCAGACGCTGCACCACTTGATCCCACCCATTGAAGGCCGCCCAGGAGAGCGCTGTTTGGCCATACTCATCCGCAATATCAACTCGGATATGTGGGTGCTGTAACAGAGCACCCACTGCCTCGTCATGACCATTGGCACTAGCCCATATCAGAGGTGTTCTGCCAATTGATTCCTCCCGCGTGTTCACATCCACATCCTGTCGCGACATCAACAGTTGCATTGTTTCGAGATGGCCTTGTTCGGCTGCTAGAGCCAGGGCGGTTTGACCGTCTTTGTTTTTCGTATTTAGAGGGAGGTCAGGGTAGGCATTGAGGATGGAGATAATTTTTTCGAAAGCATTTGAGGGAGCTAATTGGAAGACTTCATCCAAGACGTCGTCACGACTGATGGTCTTCTCTTTTCTGTTAGCTTATGATCGCCGTCCAACATAAAATTGGGGTGTGTTTTCTGCAGAGGTTACTGACCATTGTGACTGTGGCTGGCTACCAAGATACCCTGGATATAATGGAACACGAAGCTGCTGTGTAGGTCCTTGCTAAAGGTGCACACACGCAAGTTCGAGAGTTCAGTAGGTCATAGAAAAGCACATAGATCAATCGTCACCAAAACTACCATATCTGATGTAACAGACGGCAAGAATTAGCGGGTCTTGCATACATGATTTGTTATCTATCAAGTGCATCTGGATCTAACGAAAATTCCTCCTTTCGGGCCTGGCTGTGACGGTATGGATACGTTAATGCGTCGACTTTCATGGTTGAGGCATTTCAAGGATCATGCATATCTACTCTGCATCAATTTCCGCACCGTCCTCATCAGACTGGGGGTATGCTGCATCCTTTTCTGGATTGGCGTAGCTGAATACAAAAATGCTGGTACTCACTGACGAACAGATAGATCTACATAGTCAGCCGCCATAGGCATGTTTACGCGACGGATTGAGGCCATTGAGTGGATCCGCATGAGAAAATGAAAGGTTGTGAAAAAGGGGCCGGCGAAAATAGAAAAAGGATGCACTAGTAAATCGGTCTAGTGATCTGATCGCGTGTGCCTTGTCTGTATTGACCACTGCCGTATTCTAGCCGGAAATGTCTTCCTGAACGAGAGATGAACTAATGCACAGCAGCTGCAGGTTCGCTCGCAAATTACGCCTAGTGCCATACTTGTACCTGAGAATACATGCAAGGGAACGACTGCGTGTACACAATGTCAGATCTTGCCAAAACGCGGGGACCCGCCAAGAAGTTCACAGACCACTAGTATACGCAATGTAACGTGAGTTTGCATGAGTAAGAGATCGCATCACTTCTGTCCGATGGGACTTTGGCGGGTTATGGGTAACGTATGGATACCCAACCAAGAGTAGACTTGTTCGCCTATCTAAAGAGATTAGGTAGTATCTTTTCCTGTGTGCTTCAGATCTCCATCATTGTTCAAATCCACATCTAAGCTCTTTTTCTCACACCGGCGCGCTTTTGTCATTGATAATATGGCCCCTTCCGCTATTCAACCTGATATCTCCTATGAACCTGATTTTGAGAAATACCAAAATCGGACGAAGCGCCGCCTGGCAAGCGAAGACACGTCTCAGGCCCTCCCTGACGGTTTTCCGCAGCAACTGAAGTCGGATCTGGTCTGGGATGCGAGTGATTTCCCACAAGTTGGCAGTGGAAATGAGCCCTGGGTTTATAACCTCACTGCGGTGGAGCTGGAAGAAATCGACCAAGCACTGGCTCACTTTAAAGGTTTGTGCAGCCCATGCCCACATGTATGTGCAACGAAGCTTGTCGGCATATCATTGACCGTACCTCAGGTCTCCAGAAATCTCTGGGACATATTCAGCCCGAGACCTTCCCACTGCCAACTTTGCATTCGAGACTGCGCTCGCTCTCGCACGACTTACATTTTGGGCGTGGTTTCTGCGTGCTCCGTCGGCTTCCAGTGGAGAAGTGGACCCGCGAGGAGAATGTCATTGTCTATGCAGGTGTCTCTTCCCACATTGGCGCTATCCGTGGGCGTCAGGACACCAAGCACGAAGGTGTCCCGGCAGATGTGGTGCTCTCTCACATCATCAATCTCAACGCAACCGGGAACCAGAAAACCATAGGTGCCCCGGCCTACACGACCGATAAACAGGTTTTCCACACCGACACGGGCGATATCGTATCTCTGTTAGCCTTGAGCGAAGCTGCGGAGGGTGGCGAGAGCCAAATTGCTAGCGCCTGGAAAGTATACAATGAGATCGCGAAGTCGCGCCCGGATCTAATTCGGACATTGGCGGAAGATTGGATCATCGACGGGTAATCGACCTCTTACGACGTAGTAAAGATTAGCTTCGTGCTAATAATGTGCCGTTATAGATTCAAACACGCTGAACGGCCTTACTTCCAACGCCCTCTACTCTACCATCAACCAGCGACGGAAGAGGCGCCGGAACGAGTGGTCATTCAGTATTCCCGCCGCACCTTCACTGGCTTTGGTGCTTTACCTAGGTCGGTCAGCATTCCGCCAATTACAGAGGCTCAGGCGGAGGCTCTCGATGCTCTTCACTTTTTAGCAGACAAGCATAGTCTGGAACTGGATATTAAGAAAGGAGACATCCAATACATCAACAACCTTTCTATTTTTCATGCCAGACGTGGATTCAAAGACAATGTGTTAAAACGGTAAGTTTGGCTCGGCAAGAGTTTGTAACATGGCTAATTCATTGGGTGTAGACGACACTTGTTGAGGCTATGGCTGAGAGATCCCGAGTACGCTTGGATTACCCCCGAACCTCTCCAGGAGCGATGGCAAGGTCTCTATCAAGGAGTTACTGCTGAGAAGGAGGTCTTCCCTCTACACCCTGTCATCCGTAGTGCTTCTAATGGCACTGCTACGAGAGATCAAGCCTAGCTGGGAAGGCATACTAGCAAGAAGCGTTTCATTTGGATTTTCTCTATGCTTATACTCACATGACCGGCGTGATGAGTAACCAATCTTCCTTGTCTATCAGAAAATGTGACTGTTCACTGCAAGGGGCAATTAATGCGCCCTACGTATCGAATTATAATGGACAACATCAGTACCCACGGAGTCCTCCGTACTTCCATCGGTATTTCGGGCTTGCCAAGACAGTATATATCATGACATAGGCTAAGACTTGCCACTACCTGACAAATACTGCTGAGGCTTATAGTAGCTTTTTCGTAGCTGGTACATACATGTATGTTACCCTGATGAACTGCACTAGTGGTGACGCCAAGCCACCATGCCGATCGCCCACTTTACGAGATCGGGCGGGTAACGTGTAACATCCGTAAATTACTATATTTAAGCTTGAACCAGTACAGCCTTAGCTAACCATATAGCGGTGAATATCTACCTACAGCTGCAAGGTACGTAGCTCATCCCTACATACTTTTCTGCAATGCTGTCATACTGATTCAAGCCCCAGAATTTGCAAGGTGAGTTACTGATTGGCAAGCTTCGCTTATTTGAGAGCGACCTTTGAGCTTCCATTCATATTTGTTCTGAAATATCTGAATGATTGTGACTGTCCGGATTTGGTTCACTCGGAAATGAACCTTTTGGAGCTGATATCTGGTATCAGCGGTGCTACGGCCTGTCTGGTGCTGGTTGCATTGGCCACAATCCCGTCAGTCCTGGCGCTCAAAGGGTGTCTATCCCGCGGAGCTAGACCAAATCGACAGTTTCCTCTTTACGAAGATGAAGACGGCACAGCGACGGAAGAGTCTCAAGCGAGTTTCTCGGACTCTGTGCCACGATATGGCATCCTGCTCTGGTCATTGGTAGGATCTGTAGCCGCCCTGGCAGCAGCCCTATGCGTAACTGTCGACCCGGGATTTATCGGATCTATCATTCCATGCTTTTGGTTTCTTTTTGCTACTGCGGTAAGCTATAATTCTGATTATTATCTCTTGTTCACTTCGGGCCAGAAAAATAATAAGTTTCTCAGCTTCTTGGAAATTTCCAAGCACTCATCATCTTCAATGATAAGAATTCTGGTCGCAAAGCCACGTTGGGGCTTTACACGTCGCTCACTGCAGTGATTATCGTGGTCGAGATTTTTCTGCTGATTGGATCTCGAGAACTCTCCAGGGCGGGGGTGCCAGCCTATACAGCTCTGCGTTCGGTGCAAATCGTCGCAGCTCTCTTCCAGGCAATCAGTGGCATGTGCCTTCCCCGCCGGCCAGATGTATATGTTGAGGGACAGCGCGTGGATAGAGAGCATACGGGGTGAGTACGATAACGACTGTGTCAACGGGGCATCCAATACTGATCAAAATGTTAGTTCCATTCTTGGACAGTATTCATTTGCATGGGCTGGAGAGGTCATGGACTTAGTGAAACAAGCACGCCACATAGGAATCAAAGATTTGCCTGTGTTAGAAGCAAAGATGCGGACAGGGTTTGTGCACGACGACTTACAGCATGAACGAGAACCGGCTCGGCTATGGCGCACCCTGTTCAAAACACACTATAAAAAGTGTCTTGTCCAATGGCTCCTGGTTCTCATCATGTGCTTCTCCCAGCTCCTGCCCCAATTCTGTCTCCTTCGGATACTACAGAGACTGGAGGCAAGGCAAGACACTTATCCTAGCCATGTACCCCTAGGGGCCTGGGTAATTGGGCTAGGAGTATCAGTTATAGGTAACTCTTGGATCGAGGTGAGAAATAATCACCAGATTGGATGCATTAATGGCATGAGCTAATTTGCTTCTAGAACACAATGAATTGGCTTTCCCTTGGAAAAATTGGCCTGGGTGTATATGAACAACTCTCCGCTCTGGTCGTTTGGAAAGGCATGCGGCTCAAGGACATCAAAGGCGATGAACAGCCCGAGCAAGACAATCAAGGGAAAGGGTCGAAGCATACACCCATCAATCTTCTCGCAGTTGACTCCCAGCGAGTCGCCGACTTCGCTGCCACGAACCACTTAGCCGTTTCATCTATCCTGAAGCTCGCTCTTTCCTTCGCATTCCTTTCGAGACTTGTGGGGGCTGACTGCTTGGCAGTCGGGTTAACTGGGTTCTTCTTGACCGCGCCTTTCAACATGCTATGCACGAGGAAGTACTCAATAAGCCAAAGTCAGCTGATGAAGATTCGAGACCAGAAACTTGCCATTGTAACAGAGGCGTTGCTAGGCATTCGACAGATCAAGTTTTCCGCGCTTGAGCCAGAGTGGTACCAAAAGATCAAAGAAACTCGAGACCAAGAACTCCGCGCTCTGAGGAAGACCTTCAGATTCATGACAGGGCTCGTCTTCGTCTGGGTATTCGGTCCTGTCATGCTTTCTGCCGCCACCTTGGGCGCGTACGTGCTTCTCCATGGGAACTTAACGGCATCGGTGGCGTTTGTCACGATATCTGTGTTTAGCAACGTCGAATCCACTCTGGGTCTCTTGCCTGAGCTGACGAGCAAAATTGTGAACGCAAAGATTAGCGCAAAGCGAATCGAAGACTACCTCAACTCTAACGAACTGGACAATCATGTAATGCATGGCGATACAATCGCCTTCAAGGAAGCAACCGTGAAATGGCCTGCATTGGGACCTATTGCTAATGCTTTCACACTTCGAAACATTAACCTTCAGTTTCCTAACGGGCAATTGAGTATCATCTCCGGCAAGGTCGGTGCGGGTAAAAGTCTTCTGCTCGCTTCGATTTTAGGCGAAGCTGATATTATCACCGGTACCGTTACAGCACCGCACCCTCCAAACCACCAAAAACGGTTCGACGAATTTGCCACCCCGATGTCCTGGATTATTCCCTCTGCTCGAGCTTACGTGTCCCAAATACCTTGGATTCAAAACGCAACAATCCGGGAAAACATACTTTTTGGCCTCCCGTATCTGGCAGAACGATACACTCAAGTGATGCATGCCTGTGCCCTAGTAAAGGATATGGACTTGTTCGAGTCTGGTGATCAGACAGACATTGGGGCTAATGGGGTGAATCTGAGCGGAGGCCAGAAATGGCGGCTGGCATTCGCAAGGGCTTTGTATTCACGGGCTGGTATCTTGATCCTGGATGACATATTCAGTGCCCTTGATGCGCACGTCGGAAAATTCATATATGACCATGCTTTGACGGGTGAGCTTGGAAGAGGAAGAACGCGAATCCTGGTAACCCATCACATTTCACTTTGTCTGCCTCAAGCAGAATATTGTGTTTTCCTCGCCGATGGGACGGTCGAGCTCGCGGGTTCCAAAAATGACCTTTGCAAGAAAGGAATTCTCTCAGACTATGCGAGGAATAAAACGGCTGATGATAGCATTGCCATTCAACCACGGGAGAGCCCCCTGCAGCAACAGTTGGCGTCTTTCAATGATACTGGCAAAGTCAATGCCGGTCCACCTCTCCCTTCTGCACGTTTCATGGCGGACGAAAAGCGTCAAACTGGCAAAGTGAAGTGGCAAGTATATGGCAAGTACATCAAAGCTTCCGGTATTCTGTCCTTGGGGCTCGTGCTTTTATTCTTTACTGCCTTTGTTGGGTCGAATTTTGGGCGCACTTGGTGGCTCAGCCTATGGACGCGTCGCTACGAAAGGCAAACCCTCCTGCCCTCTTTACTGTCAACTGAGACGAACCAGCAGACAAGGCTGAGCACTTTACGCTCCGCGATGGCCGACGAATTATGGTACTACCTCGGAATTTACATTGCGCTGTCCGGAATTACATGTGTGTTGGGCACAGTCCGATATTACTTCCTCTACCGTGGATCCGTGCAAGCATCGCGAGTCCTATTTGAACGGTTATCCTACGTCATGCTCCGCATGCCATTGCGGTGGTTGGACACAGTTCCAATTGGTAGTATTCTGAACAGGCTCACAGCCGATTTCAATGTGTTGGACTCTCGTCTCGCGGATTCCTACGGGTATGTCATATACAATGTATTTGTGATGATTGGCACGATCCTTGCCGGGTTAGCTGTCTCGCCTTATATCGCGTTCCTCGTGGTTGTTTTGCTCGCTACGTCGTTGCGATTCGGCAACCGGTATCTGATCGGAGCCCGTGAGGTGAAGCGACTGGAGAGTATCTCGAAAAGCCCCATATTGGAGCAGTTCGGGTCTGCCTTGACGGGCATCGGTACGGTACGGGCTTTTCAAATGTCCAACGCCTACGTCAAAAAGCTACATGGGCATATAAACGATTGGGCACGAGCGTATTGGTATACGATGCTATTTTCTCGGTGGTTGAATCTGCGCCTGAATATATCCGGGACGGTGTTTACCACTGTGACGGCTGCGATGGTCGTATCGATACCGAGTATCGATGCTCCCTTAGCGGGTTTCTGTCTCAGCTTTGTGCTCCAGTTCAGCCAGACAATTATCTGGGTTGTCCGTGACTTTGCAAGCTTAGAAATCGCCATGAATGCGCTGGAACGAATCTCGGAATATTGCGACTTAACCCCAGAGACTGAATCTGGAATGGATCCTCCAGCTGCATGGCCGACCAACGGACACCTAAAGGTGTCCAATCTGGTGGTTACATATGCACCAGAGCTGGGGCCCGTTCTCAAGGGGTTGAGCTTTGAAGTACAAAGGAATGAGCGGGTCGGCGTTGTCGGGCGCACCGGTGCAGGCAAGAGTACCTTAACCCTGGCGCTCTTCCGATTCTTGGAGGCGAGCGAGGGTTCAATCGACATTGACGGGATCGACGTCTCCAAGATTAAGCTTCGCGAACTCAGAAAGCGCGTTGCTATCATCCCACAAGATCCCATTCTCTTTTCTGGGACCGTACGCTCCAACCTCGATCCTTTTGACGAATATTCGGACGAGACCCTGTCCGATGCATTAAATCGGGTCCACCTTGGTCGAACTGGGATCCAGGACGACAACAACAGCACAGACGGTGATGGCTCGCACCACGCCCTCGATTTGTGTTCCAAGGTCAGCCAAGGGGGGCTCAATATGTCCCAGGGCCAAAGGCAACTTCTCTGCTTAGCACGCGCCATTGTGTCACGACCTAAAATCATTGCCCTCGATGAGGCAACGTCGGCTGTAGACAAGAAGACCGACCGTTTCATACAGGGGAGCATTCGCGAAGAGTTCAAGGATAGTACGCTGTTGGTTATTGCACACCGACTGAGTACCGTGGCCGACTTTGACAAGATCCTCGTCATGGGTGACGGGAGAGTGGTCGAGTACGACTCACCGAGAGTACTGATCAACAAGGAGGGAGGCATGCTGCGGGATATGATTGAGCACAGTGATGAGAAAGAACTTATCCTGAAAACCATTGGAGCACGGTGAGCCTAAAGCTAGAAGATTCGGATTTTGGTTGTGAAATGCATCACAAATGATCCTGGTACTTACCTCATTTTGGCATGTGACCCCCTTCAGACCTAATAGACTGGATTTATTACCTAGATTTGATACATTGTGCTGCATGCATACCTAGTAGATGGGTAAATATTAGGGTAGAACTACGTAACTTCTGGTAAGTCACAGGACATGTCTTAGATTACGATGCGTTAAGACTCGCGGACTTTTTCTTAGTTTGGTAGTTTGACTATTGTAACTTTTGTATGTTATGTCCTAGCGTTAGGCAGATACCTCTACGTGGTGCTGTGGATGATTGTCTAAGCAGGCAATAAGTACCCACCGAGCGATCCCAGAGCGCACGCATTAAGAATTATGCAAATGGGTCATCATACAAAGTAAGCGCTGATTCCATTACGAAGCTAGAATCAACCCAGGAGCTTCGCAGGGGAATTGGTCGAGTGCGAAAATATATATGGTTCTGCCCTAGTGATTCAATGGAACAATCGCACGGCATTTCCAAGTCTATACTAAGCTCTAATGTTAGTATATTATATCTGCATTAGGTAGGTATTTGGACTGCTTATATCTCAAATCATCCGAAGCGACTCTCGAGTCAAAACATGACGCTAGTATACTTGACTGCACTGAGTTCGCTCTTGTTCTTCCAGAAGAGAATAGTGGTGTTAAAGTGTTGACACAGCAAGGAATTTGGTGCATACTGCACTTGCCCTCGCAATCAGAAAGCGTACCAATTTTTTTGGACGTAAATTGGAGCTAGACACTCAATAAACAAACCGCGGGCAGCTGTCATATATTTCACAAGATTCTCAAACATATGCTCAGTGCATGTCTCTTCTTACTCAGTGGATATGTGCTGCCCAAATGCGACATGCTAGTCTCTCGGCTAGTAGCTGCAGCGTGCTTTAATCCTACGGAGATCAATTGGTTTAGAAGGGCAAGCAAATTGCATTGTCATTCATCGTCTATGTCATTCCTAAACATTTTTACTAGCAGGTATCTCCATAATCTGACTAACTCTTACAGAGTGCGCTCAATGAGCTCAATACCGTAGTCCTCCTTCAGGGTCTTGATAAGAGGAGCACAGATCTCCATGCTCATAGGAGCAAGGACACCAGTCTGGCTGATGGTACCATCAAGAACCTGCTTAACAGCGACACCGCAGGGAACACCGACAAGCTTGGCCATGGCGGAGTAACCAGCGGGGTTACCGTACTCGCAGAGTGTAGAGGTACGGGTCTCCTTGGAGCCGTCCTTGTTCTCAATCTCGAACTTGTGCTGGAGCATGACGAGATCACGCTCGCCAGGACCGTACTGCATTTTCTTCTCGAGGGTAGCGCAGAGAGTGTCGAGGGCGTTGCCGCGGGGAATGATCTGCTCGTCGGAGAAGAGACCGATCCAGCGGAGACCGGAGAGGAGGCGGTCACGCTCGTCGTTGTTGGGGAAGCTGGTCTTGGAGGAGACGGCAGCCTGGAGGTCGTGCTCGGAGGAAGAGGTGGCGCCGAGGACCTGCTTGGTAGCCTCCTTCCAGGAGGTGGCAGTCTCGAACACGCTGTTGGGGGCGTCGCTGAGGAAGCCGGTGTCGACGAGGACCTTGATCATTTCGGGGAAGCCCTGGTAACGGAGGGTACCGCGAATGACGGTCTGGGCCTCGGGGATCTCGTAGCGCTCACGGAAGGGAGTGGAGTCACGGTTGGGGTATCCGACGAAGGCGAAGCCGGGGTAGATGAAGAAGGGCTTGGCGGCGGCCATCAGGTCGGGGCCGTCAATGCTTACAACCTTACCACCCTGGTAGATCTTGGCGGCGTTGCGGAGAGCGAGGAGTACACCACGGCTGGACCAGGAGAACTTGTAACCCAGAGGGTTGTTGGAGCACTCGGGGGCGGGGAGACCACCACAGAAGGAGACAAAGCCGGTGACCTTACCGCCAGCGGCATGGACCTCGTGGATAGCCTTCACAGCGTACAAGTGATCACTGGGAGATGTTAGCATCTATCAAAATCACATTCGTATGATTGCGTTCTTACAGGCCCTGGAATTTGTTAGTAATATTTCAAATATATCGGGGTATGGGTATATGCTTACAGGGTCAAGACCAATCTCGTTCATGACAGTGATTCCGGCCTTCTTGCACTCCTCATCGAGCTCCATCATGGCAGGGGAGACGTAGGATGTGGTGACGACATTGGTCTTGGTGCGGATGGCGGACTTGATGACCAGGGCGTGGAAGGTGTAGGGGATCAGGGAGATGGCGACATCGGCCTGCTCGAGGGCCTTGTCAAGGGCAGCATCATCGCTGACATCGAGAGCAATGGCCTTGGCGTTCTTGAAGCCAGAGGCGAGCTCCTTAGCGCTCTCGAGGGTACGGCAAGCTATTTACGGCGTGGTCAGTGATTGTTGTTCCATTGGTGCCACAGCTGTTCTTTGCATTACTTACCAACAGTAACCTCGACATCAGCCTTGCTGAGAACCTCAACAGTAGGCTTAGTGACTATGCAAATTCAACGGTTAGCGACCTCTACTCGATAGATGGCCGATGCGGGGCACTGCGGCCATTGCGCATTGGACCTAGAAGTAGGAATGAGAGGCGTACCGAAGCCCGAACCCAGAAGAAGGGCCTTGGAACCGGCGATTTGCTTGACCATTTTGACTCAATTGATTATAATCGAGGTGATTGGAGAATTCACATTATGAGCCACACCCCTCCTTCTCTTCCCCGATGTGCGGGTGACTCATCTGTCACGTGCCCCGATATCGGGTGAGGGGCCGTGCGCTGGTGGGTCTGCATCTATACATTTGAACTTCATAGAACTACTCAATCTGTGAGCTCGGAAGATCGCACTCATATGACTATTACTTGAAATCTCTTTATTGTCAACGAGACCCGTCACAGGCACTTCTCCTAAAGGACGGAGCTGTCCACAGCGACCGGCTATCAATGAATAAAATGAGAGATGCAAAATACAAAGATAATCCTCATCGACAAGTCATAGGTGAGCACAGATTAAAACGACTTGGTTGCAACGAAACAAGGCAACCTTCCTTGACAAGTCGTAAGTATGCAAGGATTAGACAACTTGGTGTAGTGATCATCATTGGAAAAGACAGTATCTGACTTGGCAAACTAGCAATGTAGGCGAAATAGATTTGGCAAAGCCGGGGCTCAGAAAAGACCGCTGGGCGCACTGAGATAATTGCTGGGAAAGCCAATTGGTAACCACATTCCTAACTTGCAGAATCATCGTTGATAGTAATAGGGTCAACGTCGTCCGAAGTGCCGTGAATATCTTGAACGGTATGGGAATGGGTGATCGAATGCTATATTGTCATATCAGAGGAGCTATAGAAAACCTTCCAGTCCAACTCTGTAATCTGTCTTGCGCATGCATGTCAACTCTAATCTCTCTAGAGAGTGGCCAAACATGCGGGGTGACAAAGCGAAGCCGATATAGCTCCTACAATTGAATCATCACGGCGTGAAATTGAAAAAGATGGAGAAGGCTGCACCATGCACCGGTAGTCGTTCTTGTGTGGGATCCTGAGTCTGTGGAGCTAAGTGGTGGCCTGCAGTGTGCCACCCTCCTGCACGTGTAGGCTCCCATCTATGACGGTGACACACCGGGAACGGCGCGATAGAGTGGACCAGATCGACTTTCAAGGCTTTCCAGAATATTTCGACGAATTTTGGGTCCTGATCGGAGATTAAAACCAGTGTTAGGCCCTAGTTAGCGGTCCACAGGTAAATGATTGCTTTTTCTCCCCACTGTTCGCCTGTCTAGTCCACACGGCCTGGGAGAATCGCAATCAGATGAATTTATCGGTCAAGTTCAGCATTGCGTTGTGGCATTTGACGGTAGTAGGCAGGCCAACGACAAAGTCGAGGTTGGTCATATGGAATGGTGTCGGTTGTGGCAGGATTGGTTGTAGCGAACCGTATGGCTTGTGCCTTAGGACTGCGTTGTCCCCACTTGTTGGGCAGTGCTGAATATACTTCTTCGGCAGCTTTGTTCCCTTGGAGAAGGTGAGGCCCTGGAGAGCTTGTTGGTCATTAACAAGCTGGAAAATTCCACTACACATAGATTTGCAGAGGCAAAAGGTGTCTTCCCCGCTGGCGTTGCGGAAGAATACTTTGTCGTCCAGACGATAAGGGAGCCTCGTTTTCATCGGGTCCTTCGAATTCTCCATCTCTTAAGCCATTGATGTGCTGAGGAACAAAGAAGACATTTCAGCCAACTAAGGCAAGCAAGGCATAACCTTCTTCGCTGTGCACGAACTGGGCAAATGGCCGGTCTCTTGCTGGAAAAGGCCGCTAGGAAACGCCCTCACTTGGAGTGCCCATATACCGTACGAGAGCTTGACAATCTTCGGTATTCGAACCCCAATAAGGCAGAGTGAATCTCGCTTGCGGCATCTGTGTGGGAAAATTCTTGGTCCTGGTTGATTCGCTATCCACCGGCTTTTCACTCGCCGTTAGAAGGAAAACCTCCTTGTCAACAAAGAAGAATGCGATATGCTGTAAGTGGTGCTGGCCTCTTTTGCCGTTCGCTTCGCTAGTGCATCCATGTCTTGTGAAGTCCCAAGGGTAACGAGTCCACACTAATGAACCGGAGGCCATATCATGCTTGTAGCAACGCGCAGAATGGTAAACGTGAACCACTTAGCCCTCACAGGAGAGACGATATTCAACCCATTAACAAAAGTCGCAAGGTCTGAGAATTCTGGGTGTATCTGGTGTGACAGAGATTGAAAATTTGGGGGGAAACGCAGGTTCGCATCAATGTTGAATATGTAGAGTGGCTCGTAAGCCAGGACGGACATCAACTCATAGGGCAGCACTCGCTTGAAATGACTCAGAAGGAGCCCATCCCAACCCTTTTTTGCAAGGTCCTTATTGCAGACGATTTGCGCAGGAGTACTCCTGATCAATTCCACATTCAGGGATGCGATTCTGCTCTCGGTTCACGCCATCCCAGACGTGGTCTTCAGTTCAAGAACTCCCGCATCATAGCCCAAACCACCAGGGGAGAGTCGTAGTCGGCTCAATCCTCTAGCGATAGCTAGCTCGACGCTGGAAGCTGAGGTGTCTCGACATCGGCACTGTCGTCCTCGGCACCGGTTGGTATTGACTTGAGTCCTTGAAGCAAGGCGTCAAAGTCGATGTGTGTGATTGGTGTACCCCACGGGTCCGGAGACTCTGTTGTTGCGGAAACGGTTCTTCTTGCTAGACTTGCTGTGTAATTACAACTCTCTATTTACGAGTCTGGCTTCTCCTCTTTGTCAATCCGGTCCAGCCAGGAACAGTGAATATGCTATCTCCGCCATTGTCCATAGATCATGGCTCAGATGCTTCACGTTCTTAGCTGTCGACTGCATCCCTGTAGATACGATTGAATGACTGCGAGGGAATGTCCATGTCTTGGATTCGGTGGGGAATATGATTGTTCCTCTTATGAATGCGGTCAACGAGCACCGCGTAGTCCTTCATCCCGAGATTGTGATCCATTTCGACGATGGGGTGCCATTTCGAACAACTTAGAAGTCAAAGGATATGAACATCAAGCCAGGGCCAGGGCTAGAAGAAGCCGACAGAATTAGACAATGAGCAAAGATTCACCAGTCGGGGATAATAGTCAGCTTGCCTTGGCTCAACCTAATTGCCCTCCTGATACGACTCTCAAGTCCCACAGCAAGACAGCAACTCCCATGACGATGCTCTTCTGTACCTTTGGTCAAATGTTGTATTCAAAGACGTGTCCAGAGTGAAGCAGTTTTACTGTCTTCGATGGTTTGTTCGAGTTGGCCCAGAGAGACCACGTTCCATGTTTTCCTCAGTGTGGCAAGAAGTGCATGACACTTGGGTAAGCATTCTTGCATGATTGCCATCACCGAGGCAGGATTATCATTGAGACGACCAATATTCTCACACAAGCAACACTCCATCACGCAGCTAGCCACTTTCATCGTTATGGGTGCTTGGTTGCCAGACGCAATGCCTGTGGACTATTCACACTTGTCGAGAGTGACAATGTTCACACGGCTTGGTTACCAGACAAAGCCAAGTCTGTAAGCGATTGCCAGGTCAAATATGACAATCGGGGTAACAGTTGGCTCTCTTCCTTTGTCATTTATCAGTTCCTTCACATTGGCTTTGATGTACTCGATATATTACTCACCGACAGCATGCGGCGGCTAGGGAGCAATTGGCTTTCGCACTTTGTATCTATCCTAAAATATCTCAGTTAATATCCATAAGTTTTGCTCATTCCATAATACCGAGGAAATTACTCACCCTCTCCAATGATATCTGTTGCTCCACATCTCTCCGTGGGAACCGAAGGGAAAATCTCAAACACAGCTCCATTGGACTTAAGTGGAACGAGTTTCTCGCTCCCGTGTATAGGACCTAGCATATCAAGAGCGAAGCGAACTCGTTTGTTTGTTCTGATTTTGTATGGAGTGCAGGCAAATTGATCAACAGGCCCTCGCCAGTGTCCCAAAAACCACGTGCCAAAGCGAGTGCGAACATCAGCTGGTAGGAGTTGCCTTTAATACCAGCGGGAATCTAGATAGGAGTTAGTATAAATGTATACATAGTATAGAATGAAGACATACTGTCATCCACTCTCGTTTCGTTCGATAGCAAAGATCGCAGAGCCGGGTATTGACGTGGTCCTTCGTGCAGCGGATCACAATCTGTTCACTGGGACAGAGTTCCTTGCCACGCAGCAAATGGCGTTTGAGGTACGAGATAATAGGCCAATCGCTATGATCTTCGCGTCCTAGATCTTTCACGGCGCCGCGCAGTCCTCAAAGAAGGGCCATCGCCGGAACTCATAGCGGATAGTTTCCACTGGTTGTAGGAGGAAAGCATTAGCACTGAACCGTTACCGTCCGAGAATAACACCTAGTAACAAGAGACCCTCTGCAGTGGCCGAAAGGACACTGAGAAGATACCTCAAACGAGGGGACAACCGATTCACGAGATAATCAAGATCGAGGATTGAATGGTAGCTACCGCATCCACTTTCGAATAAGTGCCTGCTGGGTGTCTGTTCTGTATGAGTCGAAATGATCAAGCAGGTGAGGCGAAACGATTCCACCGGAGCTTGCCTTAAAAGTGTTAGCTGGACTGATAGAAAGTAGATAACTTATCATCAGAAATGACTTACAAGAAAGCTCAATTTGCCGACCCATTCCAACCCATCCCTGTTGTCCTTTCCCTCCCCCTTAGGAGTGTGTTAGAATAGAACGAAAGTGAACCTGACAAGGTACGACTCACCGTTCCCGCTCCATGATCGTGTGCGACGACTGTGCAGATGTCAGTGCATACTGTCTATTCACTCCCCAGCAAGGGCTTTTTTTGAGCTTTTCCCGACAGTGCGTAGCTGGTAGTGTGCGCCACACTTAAGGTGCCGAGAGACAGAATGTAGGGTACAAGGTTAAGGGGGCTGGTTTCGAAAGGGGTCCCGGACAGAAAGTACTTGATGTTAGATGGCATGATATACCAATAACTCAGGCAACCCTGTCTCTGAGTTCGTGCTGTCTCGTACTGTAGGCCGCCTGTTCGTCTTCCCTAGAACAACATGTTAGCATGACTGTATGAGAATAAAATAAACTGAAGCTCAAAACTCACACATATTGTCCCTGGCGTCCTGTCAGGCGCTCTTGACATTGGGAACCTGTTGGTCTTTGTACGCTGCAGCACTACTAGGAGCATGAGCACGAACAGGCATGGACCAGTGTGCCGAAGTGATACGCCAGTCTGGTAAGAGGAACTGTCTGATATTCCCTGACACTTGAAATCAGAGAACAGCTCAAGAAGCTGGATGTGCGATTCATGCAGCATGAGTCTGAAACCGTGGCCGCTGGGACAAAATGAGATTTGCATCTCCTGCTTTCGTTCACGGCCCATATTCTTGTATATTCAACTTTTGTTCTCCGAACCGCCACAATGCTTGAGGATCTGACTTGAAGCATTCACGATAAAGGGGATTCGGAGAAGTGTAGCAATTTTCGGAAATGTCAGGTCTGTATCGAAGTCAGCAAGACTGCAGAGGGAAGAAGGAGAAAACGAGGAGAAAAGTACTAACCTTCACTTCTTGCTTGTAGGGAGTGATTATATAAGAAAGGAACACAAACTCGAAAGAATAAGCTTGGTGATGTGAGATGAGGTGGAGTATCAAAGAAGTGAAGTGACTTGTATAGGTTGACTGGTCCAAAGGTTGAGTTGTTGAAGTAAGAAATATAAATGTATAAGATCATTTATATAGAGGAACTGAAGGTAGGCGGAGTGAGGTGGAAAAAGAAGAGAAAGAAGAAGTGGTTGAATGAGAAATTCATGATCTTATATAGCCTTCAATTTTCTGGGGCACCTCTTCATTCATGCAGGTTTTGCCTTTGGAATTAACTATGGCCAACTTGCTTGCTTGGTTGATTGACGTGGCCACCCACCTCTGTAGCTTTCCTAAATATATACCTGTAAATTAACCACTAGATGGTAAGTTGTGGCTACCTAGCTACCTGAATGTAGGGGTAGGCCCTAGTAGAACCTGTAGGTTAACGTTACTGCCATAAGTCAAGTTTGGCAGAGAGCATGCCAATCCATGAAAACTATAGATATCAAAATGTACTAGTAGTAAACGATCTGATTCCTATAGAATAACAGATGTATCGTCGACTACGACAATTGATACTCTTAGCCGGTGTATGGCCATCATATTCAGTGACTAAAAGTACAAGATCTTCTATGTACCAACAAGGTAACGTTAACCCGAAAGTGGGTACAAGAAGGGATGTATGGGATGTCGATATCCGACAAAGGATATGCCGAAGAGAAATGCCGCAAAACGCCGCAGGATGCTCAAGACAAAAAGAACCAAAGAAAAGAAAAACAGTCAACTCAGGGTATATATCTAGATGCTTTTAACCTTGCCACTCTGACGCAACAGCATCGTGTCAAGATCTTCCTCGCTAGACTCCGGACTATCACCAGCAAAGTTACCCTCCGCATCAGGGTCTTGCCGGGACTTGGAGATCCGTCGTTGCCACCCAAGCATCACAGGGAGAAAGTGCCACAGGTCGAACTCAGGCCACATTACGTCAAGGAAGACGATTTCGGTATTTTCGTGTGTTTGCCAGAGCATGAAGTCGCTTAGACGTTCCACGCCTGACGTGCGGATTAGGATGTCCAGGGGTGGGGTGCCCTTGGTCAACATGCGGTCGTTGAGGGTCTGACGAGAGATTGTTTCGGGTGAGATATAGACAGGGCTGTCTGATTCTGTCGGGGCAGTTTGTGGTGAGCCCTTGTGAGGCTCTTGTTGGCCTCCGTGGTGGAGGGTGGTGGAAGATGAGAAGGAAGAGCCGGACTCGTAGACATGGTTGGCGCGGTCGTTCCGAGTGGGTAAATCGTCGTCCTGTGCCGACGACCCAGATGTGGATTCCGAGTCGCTGGTTGTATCATGGGTTTTCGAGCCGAGCGTCTGCGCGCGAATATTATATGCAATATGGGATTCCGAGAAGGGGGTGCGGGATGCCGCACCTGCGGAGCGGGTGTTTTGGATCGGCTTGCTATAATCTTCGACTGTGTCGCGGATGGCGGTGGTGATTTCATCGCGGGAGGTATAAGGGAAGCAGATGTTCAGGACGCGGTCTCCGTTGCGGCTGGTCAGGTCGACGGCTCTGTTGACAGCAGCCAGGACATCGGGCTTCAGCAGATCGAGGCGGCCCAGGACGCGGACCTTGGCGCCGTATCGATCCAGCAGGTCGCCATGCTGAGCCATCTGCGACAGCTTGACCTTGGCCATTTCCATGAGCGCATCCACTTCGAATTTTGACCGTTTAAAGTTCTCGATACTAAAGGCGTAAATCGTGACTACCTTCACGCCACTCTTGTAGCAGACTTCGAGGATCTATAATAGACGGTCGTTAGTACTAGGTCGCGAGGTAGCGGTGCTGCCCGAGAGTCTAGCTCTCAAGGTGGGAGGTCGCAACTCACCCTCGCCAGAGCCTCAAATCCCAGGTTATGTCCCTCCACTGTTTCAATTCCATGCGAGCGGGCAAATCTTCTGTTCCCGTCCATAACGAAGGCCACATGCTGAGGAATAGGGCCCTGCTGGAGCGCACCGATCAGCAGCTCCTTCAGGTTCGTGATGGCGAACTCAACAGGCGGAGAGGCGAGGAACCAGTTTCGCAGTCGCGACATATGCATTGAACCCGCCATGATGTAATTCGAGATGAAGCCCGCAGACTTTATTTCGAGACCTTGGAGAAGTCGGGGGAGTTGGATGGGGAGGATCGAAGTGAGGCAGAAAGCGCACGGTTAGTGGCTGGGCGGACTCGGAGGTCAAAGGCAACGTGTTCAATTATTTAGGAGAAAAGGAACAGGCTGCGATGCAAGACTGGGAAGTTTTTTAAAGTGCATGTGAGGCGATGCTAGGCTACACTGTTTTTTTAGATTTTCTTGTTCTGGGATTTTTGGCCCCTGCTCAACGCTGCTCTCGGACGTGGCAAGTTATGCGGACGGAAGTCGAGTTTACGATTTGTTGAGATCCCCGCCACCATAAATAGTGCAGATACTTGTGCTTGGTTTCGTTGTGACTTGGCGCTTCTATGTTTCTCTACATTGGATTGGATTGGATCAAAACATTCATTAACAGAGAGGATATCTTGCATGGATATATAAAACAGCAAATGGACACAACTTGACAATAGACGCCGCTATGATATTCATGAGAAGCACTTATAATGGCAGTTCAAAGGTCTTTTCGGTACTCTTCGGTACTAGAAGGTGTGCCAGGACCTGAGCTAGCCATATCCCAGCTTCCATCTTCACTTCGACGACGGCGACGCTCTCCGCGTTCCCTCATAGCATCCCGGATGCGCGAACTGACGTCCTCCAGCGGATCCTTTTGGGTGAGAGGGCTCAGCGGCTTCAGCCCGTGTCGAGATCCGGGTCGACCGCTGGCGGAGCTGCTGCGGCTATGATCACGGCTAGGAGGCCGTGTAGAGAAGAAGCCAATGTTGGCCAAGTTGTGGAACGACTCGTTGCGGGGCAAAGGCTCCGATGTAGGCATTCCCTCGCCCGCTTCTGAGACGCTGGTTCTTCTGATCTCCGGCAGTCCGTGCTCCTTGGTTTCCGACTCGGCATCCCGGAATGGACCCGTGACAATCCGAGAGGCATCGAAGTCGGGGAACAACTCGGGACCCATGGTGTTGATCGCGTCGGTCACTTGTTGGGCGAGCGCAGCACGTCGTTCACGGAGTCTCACCAGGGTGTTGGCTGACGATGGGTTCAAGGACAGAACAAGCGGCCGGAGCGACTTGATGATGTCCATACCGACCTCACCAATGCGGAGAGCTGCAAAGGTGATTGTGGGGAAAAGAACCATGCCGATCATCACCACTGACCAGAGTGGCACCCAGTTTGGAACCAACCCTTGGACTCGGTTCCAGTAGGTCCAATAAGTGAAAGCCGCAGTGTAAAAGGCGTAGAGAGCGGGAGCAAATGCAAGGGCGATAAGAAGCTTCCATGTGGCCATGACATCCCGGCCTTGAAGTTTCACAGTAGAAGCAGCCAAGGCTTCCTTGGACTTCTTCGCGGAGAGATACTTGGTTGCGATGAAAACGGGGGTGAAGAGGAGGAAACCAGGCAGTGTCCCAATTGTCAAAAGGGCTAGTTTGCCCAGGCGATAGAGCAATGTAGCCACCACCTGGAGGATAGAGAACTTGGCGTAGGCAACTTGGTGATCCCGGATTCCGAGGATGCGAAGCTGTTTGTTGTAACTCACAATGGACCTACGCAGGTCAACGATTCGAGGGTCATCCTTGAAGTGAGCGTATCCTTTCACAAGGCGACGGTTCAGTTCCACAACCATGGGAAGAGGAAGCTTTTTGCCCTTGGTGTTGTACAGACGACGCGCCGCTTGGATAACCTATGATTTGTGAGTTGAAGTGCCGTATTTGAAATCAGAGGAAGCTTACCATAAGAGTTTCATAATCGGGACTGGTGACAGTGACAGAAACGAGACTTCCGTAGATAATATCCAGCAAAGCACCGACGGACTCTCGTCGTTCGCCTTGCTTGAACTGCTCCACCAATTCCCGCGGGACATCGATTGGTGTACCGAACTCAATAACGGCTCTGGAACGGAACTTGTGAGCATGGAAATAGTTCATACCACAGGGAACAATTTTCAAGCCACAGTCCGGGTTCTCCGCCAGTGTACCAAGAGCCATCAAAGCCACACCAGCTATACAATGTCAGCGAGAAGTCACCTCGAGTATAACCAATAGAGCTTACCTTTCAAGGGAAGCAGTGTCGTGCGATCGTGGCTTCCACCTTCGGGGAAGATACCAACACAGCCTCCAGCACCAAGTCGCTTGAAGACTGCTTGATAGACCGCGGTTTGATCGACATGAGGGGCAACCTTGAACTTGGTGCCCTTGAAATCTGGGTTCTGCTCGGACACATCACCAGAGAATTTTCCATCACTGCCAATGTCCTTGCGTCCAGTAAGCTGGCCCAACGCGTCTCTGTGTTTGAAGGGTTTCTTGAGAACCAATTCCTCGGGTCCGCGGACCTCCGCAATAGCAGCACTGTGTGATGTTCCGTTGATCGTAGGTAAAGCGATAGTTCCGTCCTTTTCGAAGCCCGGTCCCTCAAAGTTCGTTCCAACACCGCGTAGCAAAGTTGGCTCGTTGATGGGGTCAGGAAGGTAGATGGTTCCAGTGCCCGGTTTCAGGTTGTCCATGGCACGTGCCACGGGGAGTGTTCCAATGCCTCGTGCGAGGAATCCGATAAATTTGCGCCGGAAGGATTTTTCGGCGATGAGCCACGAGATTCGACGGTGAGCTTCGCTGCGGATGACGCGCATCAAAACTAGAGAATCGACGAACTGTGCGAAATCACGCGTCAGCATCTTATTAGTGTCTCAGAAGCTGGCGGCTTACCTGGTTGGCATGGGGCGCGGCCACCAGAATGATGGGACCGCGTCGAGGGATCTTCCATGATCCCCGGGGGTGCACTTCGCGGAAGAAGAGGTCAATCAGCACAGAGAAAGTCCACAGGACCAGATCGTACATCCACCCGACGAGGGGTGGAATGTAGGGTCCTTTGTCTCCCATGTTGTAGAGGGCCCGGTTCGGCGATAAGGATGATGTCTTATGATGTCGACATGAAGTTCCCTACAAATATGAGTAACCCCACCGGATAAGCTTGGAACAGCTCGGAAGAGCTGGGAACATACCTGGACTTCTTCTGTTTACTCCCAGCTACCGTATCAAATATAGTAGACAGTGAGCACGAGATCAAGGGTAGTGAGGAGAGGAAGTTTTTCGAAACCGGAAGTTGGCTTTTAGCGCGGGCTCGGACGCTTCTAGAACAGGTTCTTTTACGATCTTTCGCAATACTTCAAACCCTTGATTGATTCAAGACCAGTGGCTTGTGACCTGAGTAGTGCGCAGGCTATTTATGCCGAGTTGAAATGTGACTTGGGAGTTCTGGTCACTTAACTTACATGTAACTTACCTGTTAGCCCCAGACACGAAATACATCTATGAAGTCAACCCCAGATTCTAACCCCTCATCCCAACGTCTATGCAAGTTCTGTTGGGAAGATAACCCTGTCAAAGCGTATGCAGTAGCGGATCGGCCAAGCCGTGCATTCTGTATAGACTTAAGCTTAATGCAGTGGAGAAGTAGGCCTCTGATCTACAAAAAAAAAGGAAGTTCAGTTCCCCTGCAGGTTCGCCTCTCCCCGCCTGCCCCGCCCCAACTTCATCTCATTCCTGACTTTCTCTCTGGTTCTGCTTTTCTTCCAAGGTTCGCAGCTTTCCTTGATTTGGCTGAGTCACCTGCTCTAGCTCCGAGGCACAATGTCTCTCAAGTATGGACCCTTTTCAGACATGGAAGCATTAAAACTGATTGCTTCTCTAGCTGGGTAATGCTTCATGACCAGGAAGGCTTTGTCCGTCTCCCAAATGAACGCTTAATATACTCCTCGCCTCCCCGCACAAGCGTATCCTTGACCCCACCATCCGGGTACAAAGGCACAGAGAAGCTCTCAGTTCAAAGCAGCGCAGGCTGTATTCATCTCACCAACCAAAGAGTTAGTATCATCCACCTATCTATCGTGGGCTTTTCTCAACTCTTGACCAGGTCGTCTATCTCCCCGCAAACAGAACAAATGACTTCCAGTCCTTCTCCTCACCCCTTCTAAGTGTCAAGGACTCTCATGTATCAGCGCCTTTCTTCGGTCCCAATGTATGGACAGCGCTGGTACAGCCCGTATCAGGAGGAGGCATTTCACCATCTCTGCCAGCCGTGCAGCTGAAAGTGACATTCAAGGAAGGGGGAGCTTTTGATTTCCACACCAACTTTGAGCGCATCAAGGAACGACTGGAACAGGCCTTTGAAAATACCAGTGAAGGCACTCGCGGTCAGCAAAACGTGGATCTCTCGGCTGTCCATCTGGAAGAGTTGCCCGCATATGAAGCGCCGCCCAATGCTAGTCAGACCGGCGCTGCTCCCAGCGAACCACCCACAGAGCCTCCAAGCAGTCGAGTATCTGATGCAGGCACCGAGCCCGTGGAGCCACCTCCATGCTATGAGGCGGTCCAATCGCAAAGTGTGGCAGATGAGCTAGAGGCGAGGTTACGGCGAGCCAGTTGATTATTTGATATGAAGCCGGAATTCATCTCACTTAATGATCCCATTAAATATTTCAACTTGCCAAAATTTCCCGTTATACACATGTACACTATGAATCAGTTAGCGACACGAAAGCGGTGCGACGCACTTAGAAGATGCACGGATCTGCTCCTCACCAGCGGCATTTAAATAGTAGTAAACAAGTATATGTATTTCAGGATGTATACTGTGAAACGAAGCACATTAAATGTAATTATATCACCTCCAATAGTATCGAGTAGTTAAATAGTCAAGCCAGACCATCGACCAATCACGTGCGGCATAATTGGCGTCTCTCAGCGGCCGGGGCTTTCCGATTTTCCAGTCCGAAGCAGCTTGGGCAAAACCAACAACCTCCCTCAATTCCGTACCCCCTTCAATCCCACCCCCAACACCCAGGACCCCCCGGTCACCTTCATTCAATTCATCACAATGGGTCTCTCCGACTTTTTCTCTGAGGTCGTCTCCTCCCTGGGCTTCGCCGAGGCCCAGGCTGAGGCTCCCGCCCAGGAACCCGAAACCACCCAGGACGAGTCCTCCGACAAGACTGAGGACTCCGAGAGCACCGAGTCCGAGTCCGCCGAGGAGACCCCCGCTGAGGAGTCTTCTGAGGAGGCCCCCGAGGAAGAGGAGCCTGAGGCTGAGGCCGAGGAGGAAGAGGAGGAAGAAGAGGAAGAGGAAGAGGAGGAGCCTGAGGACATCAAGCCCAAGCTCGAGGAGGGTGAGTGGCCCTATCGTCATTTTCTTGTGTTTTTTGATACATTGCCCATGTGTATTGCCCTGCGATCGCGGGCAATGGGCAATTGGTCGTGCCCATTCGTCTTATGTGTCAGGATCAGCCCCTGCATCGTAAAGCGCCAATGGCACTGCAATCACGCCGAATCAATGCCTGCTTTGATCTCAGATCGGTAACTGACTCTTTTCTGCAGAGTGCGCCAACTCCGCCCAGTGCGCTCCCTACAAGCACCACTTCGACGAGTGCGTTGAACGCGTCACCCGCCAGGAAGAGGATGAGAACTACAAGGGTCCCAAGGAGGACTGTGTCGAGGAGTGTAAGTACTAACAACAATCAGAAATGATCATATGATGGAATCGGACACCGCTTCGAATTGTCTGTCATCGAGTTCTGATTGTGCGACTAACACAATCCCAGTCTTCCACCTCACCCACTGCGCCACCGCCTGTGCTGCCCCCAAGCTCTGGAGGGAGCTCAAGTAAACGTCTCACCCAAGACGTTTACATCGGCGTCCCAATACTTTCCCGCATCGATACGAGAAATCCCTGGACCCCGCCGAACCGAAAATCCAATCCCGTTTTTCTGATGGCCGCCAAGGCAATTTTAGAGGAATAGCCTGGTGGCTTGCCTTGGATTGAGAACGCAGGATTGATCAAGAAACCCCTTCATCGACTCTTTCCTCGTGTATGTGTGCGCATATTATGTTGTGTTTTCGAGGTAGGGAGGAGGGCTCAGAGGAAACGAATAATAGATCACACCCTTCTCCCTGCCTTGCATGTACAGATAGCTGGTCTTCCGCCTGTTCGAACTGTGCTTTGTTTTTTTATTCTCTGTTTAAAACGAATCTCATCTGTCTTGATTGACACTCGTCTGGGTTTACTAGTCCACTATCCTTCCAACGCATGGCTATAATTGCTTGCAGTGATGTTGCACCATCAATTGCTTGTTGGGTATCAGTATGTTGATTCGCTAATAACGAGAACTATGCGCCCGCTCAAATAGCATCGTATAGACATCACAGGCCCCGATAGAGGGCCATAGTCCCCAATCCGGTAAGATCAAGGGGATATATACAGCGCTGACCAGGGCCTACCTTGCAGAGAAAGAATGGTCCCAAAGACAAAAATCGCAAGAAAAAGCAAATGAGAGACAAAACACCTTGCAGTTCAAACCCAGTAACACAAAATCATCAGCGCAAAAGAGCTGTAGAATCCTTCGCAGAAACACCAGAACCCCCAGAATCAACCGAATCAACTTTATCAACCTTCTTCGAACCCTCATCCCCAACAGCATCCCGCAACCCAATCCCCGAATCAACAATCCACCTCCTCTTCTCAACAACCCTCCCAAACAACCCAATAGTCAAAGGAAAAGGCGCAGCAACAACCGCAACAACAGCCGCAAAAACCAACGCATTCCTCATATCCCCAGGCACCCGCGCCCCAACCCCCATCTTCAACGCATCCTGAATAAGAATAAAACAAGCCCCAAGCAACTGCCCTCCAGTCCAGCAAATGGTACTCCCAATCTCCGGCGAAAGGGGATAAGTAATCTCCGCCAAGAACTCCAGCACAATCGGCAACAAGGTAAACGACGAGGCGCCCAGTAACGCCATGACAACATACGACGGCGCAATCCCTGCGCTACTCCCCGGCGCGAATATCAAGCCGATATAGGTGGCTGCAACTATCGGGACGAGCACGCGGATGCTGCCGAGGTAGTGTTTATAGCGGTCTGTTAGTGGGGAGAAAATTGCTGCTGTGATCAGGCCAACGACTATTAGGATTGCGCCGGCGATTCCGGCTTCTGTTTCGCTGAAGCCGTATGGACTGAGGATTTGGTTTAGGAGGCTGCTAATGCTGTTGAAGAAGCCTACGTATATGGAGAATGGGAGGAGGATTTGCCAGAATTCCCAGGTGCGGATTAGTTGTTTTGTTGCCGTTAAGAGGGGTGTTTGCGGGGTGTTGGAACTGGAGGCGCTTGCTGGGGTTGGGGGTTTGGCGGGGAGGAAGAAGGAAGGGATTGCTGCGACGCTTGACTGGGTGGAGGGTTAGCTATTGGGTTGCGGTGGATTGATATTGTATTGGTGGTGGGTGACACTTACAATAATGGAGATGTACAACACCATATTAGGTATATCGGAAGGTTTGGTCGCCCATACCGAATCGACGAGCTGCCCTATAGCTGCGCCGAGGGGATTCGCCAGACTGGCAACAGCCGTTGCGCTTGTTCGGCCGCGATCTGAGAACCAGAGCTCGCTATATCGTGTCGGCGCGCAGAGACAGAAGGGCTGCGCGAAGCCGATGAGGATCTGGCCGAACATTGCTAGTCCGAAGATACCACCGTTTGCTTTTGTGCCGGCATATCTGAGCCAGTTGCCGACTAGCAGCAGGGCTGCTGTCATTACGATGGCTTGCTTTGGGCCGCCTTTGTTTAAGATCCAGATGACGAGGCTGTATTGCGGTCAGATCAGATCGGGACTATTGAAGCGTGGTATCCACTCTCTTATACTTACGGGCTGACGGCGCAGAATGCAAAGAGGAAGGCGGTGCTCATCCAGTTGATGGCACTCTCAGATACATCGAAATATTCGGCTGCTGTGGTTGAGATGGAGGAGAAGGTTAACCACTGTGAGGAGGGTTAGCAACGGCGATCTATGCGCAATGCGGTATAATGGGCATGGACATACATCCCAACTAACGACGATGTTTAGCAGGACTAACTGGGCCAAGCCCCAGAACCGTCGCTTATACACTTTGTACACTGGCGCGACGGCCTCGACATCTGTCGTGGGAGTCGACATGTCTGGGAGGAGTTGAAACAGGAGCCATGTAAGGCACACGAGGCACACGAGAAGTTAAATGGAACAAAGAGAAAAGCCAAGCGTCACATCTTCTTGGCTCTTAGCGGGGCTTCTTTCAACTCCGATAGCTGTCCAGGTGTTCCGAGGTAACCTTGAATTTGGTACTTAGTGATACATTAATCGTCATATTATGACGTTGCATTCCGTGGGTACCGATAGGTACACAGGGCTGCCATGTGCGGAGAGGTGCGCTTTGGGAGCAAATTAATCTAAATGTGACTCGAAGATATCAGAAATCCCGAAATAAGCGAATATAGAACCAGATATTCATTTGTACAGTGGAGAACTCCCCAGTCGTTCGTAAATGAAGTGAACTGAACCATCCATGAAAGTCCTTTATAGTTGTGGCTCCGCTTGCATTCTTCAGGGGGACGAATACGAAGCTTCTATCACTCTACTTTTACCTATCTACTCGGGTACTTTTACCGTATCTAGTTAATGTTAACTATAATCTATAATGAACCTGTATATATCGATCTATCACCTTCAATTCTCCGAATCGAACACATCCAGAAATTCCCGTGGCTGAACTAGCCGATGCAGATCGTCTTCTCCTTCACTCCCCGCCATCTTTTTATGACTGCGCTAAACTAAAAAGCCCACTCCACCTCTTCTCCTGATTCTAAACAATCCCTGTCCTTTTTCTTTTCCCAACCGATCGCAACCGCCGACCGCAAACCGCAGACTCTAGCGCCTGGAACTCATGATGCGCGACCCCTGTCCCTGAAACCACCGATTGAACGAACTACAGTATTTTGATCATTGAACGAGTGGTCCACCATGAACAGTATCCGCGACAGTCAATCTTCCTATGGAGACCCTCGATACCTATCCACCATGACCGCCTCCGATGCGCCGGCGCCGTTGCATGGGAGGTCGCTTGTTGATGGGTATCGGGATGCTCTGGATCCCCAGCATGATGACCGGTCGCGGTATAACCCGGTAGGTAGAGATATTATAAATCTGGGAGATCAACCCCTAACCCAAAGACCGACTCCAGCTAATTGTGTTCGCTTTGTTTACAGCTCAACCCATCCCACCCGCGCAGCTCGGTTCTCCTGAATGCCAACGACCCCGTGACTATGTACTTGTTGACCGAGACCGCCATCGGGGATAGTCTGAATTATGAAGTGCTGTCCTTTGATGAAGTGGAGGAATTGAAGAAGGAAAAGACCGTACTGTCCAGTCGCATCGAGGGCACAAAGCGGAAATTGGCGCTGGAAACGAAACTCCGCGATGCCGCACAATCTCTTGGCCGACTCTACAGCCCGCCCAGTCCGCGGAGTAGCGGCGAGTACGGTGCGAATGGGAATACACACCGGAGGAGTCGCAGTATTTTCGGACGGAGTGGTGCTTCCGAGGCGCTGAACAAGAGTGACTCGGAGCTCGCGGTGAGCCAGCGGAAATGTGAAGAGTTAGCCCAAGAACTGTGGAAGCTGGAAACGAGATGTCAGAAGATCAATCAGCGCTTGCTGGAGCATACCGCGGGTGTGCTGCAAATGACACACAAGGGTCTGAAGAAGGGACCGAAGAACCCTGCTCTGGGTGGATCAGAGAGTATCTACGACGGACACGAATTCGACGATCGCAGCCTATACCGGACAACGGAACATTTGGATAGCTTTGGCGTGCGCGGCAGGATCGAGACGAATGCTACTGCGGCCATGAACACTGAAGCCATGCAGGCTACCGAGAGACGATTGGAGGAACTCAGCGAGCGCATACATGATATGATGATCCAGTCCAACCCTGGTGAATTTATTGACCCTCCTCCCCAGCCATCTACGAATGGCGGGCCGGCCAACCCCACAGCAACGGTTAATGCACACCTGGCATACATTCAGAATAGCATGAACAACATCGTCTTGCACACGGGCCCCGATGCCCCAGCTCCCGCGGCCGTGAGCGAGGTTACTCCAGAAGCCGAAAGCGCCTGGAAGACCAAACTCACCGAGATCAACAATCGAGTACAGAATATTGTTGACCGGTTTGGCTTGACACGTTCACCGACATTGCCGCCGCCTCCCGATGCCACCCACGGCGATGGACTGGAGGAGCAACTCTCTTACCTCCAAACTGGCGTAGATGGTTTGGAGAGCCGGGTAGATGGTGTTCTAGAGCAAAAGAGCATCCTGACAACCCAAATCCAACAGCAGCGCGAGCTCAACTCCAAGTCAGATGCAGAACGAGATGCCCATATCGGCGACTTGACTGAACAGTTGACCCACTTGCGCAGAGACCTCGAAGTCTCCGAGCGCGAAAACAACGCCAACCGCGAGGAGCTTGCTCTGGTCACAGAACAGCTCGACGCAATGCGTCACAGTGGCTCTTCTCAGGAAGAAGCCAAAGCAGCTCTTGTCCAGACAGAGGGTGAAGTTGCGCGTTTGCAGAGTGTTGTCAGTTCATTGCATCTCGAATCTGATGCCAGGATCAACGAAGTCAGCGAAGCGCGCGATGCCCAGGATCACGCCGAGGCCGAGGTCAAGCGTTTGCAAAACGTCCTTGAGTCTCTGGAGAGAGACACTGAGGCTAGGGCTTTGGAAGTTAGCGATGCTCGTGACCGCGCAGAAGGCGAAGTCCAACGCCTCAACGTCCTCGTTCAAACGCTACAAAATGATACCGGTGCTAAGTCTAAGGAGATCAGTGACGCTCGTGACCGTGCCGAAGGCGAAGTGGAGCGATTGGAAACCGTGATTCAAACGATACAGCACGAACATGCCGCCCAGACTGAAGAGATGAAAGATTCCCTCTACCGCGCGGAGAGCGAGGTCAAGCGTCTTGAAGATATCATTGACTCGATGCATAATGATAATGCTGTCCAGCATGAAGAGATCAGGAACGCTCGTGATCACGCGGAAAGTGAGGTCACTCGCCTACAACTTGTCATCGAATCGATGAAACACGACTCTGCTGCTCAGATCGAGGAGGTTAGAGGTGCTCGTGACCGCGCAGAGAGCGAAGTGAAGCGTCTACAAGACATCATTGACTCGTTGCAGAACGACACCACCACCAGAGGCGGGGAAGCACTGGAAGCTCGTGAGCGTGCAGAGCAAGAGGTAGCCCAGCTAGAAGCTGCCATTCAACAAATCCGCAACCAATCCGATGCCCGTGTCAAGGAGGCAGATGATCAGCGCGCGCAATCAGACGCGAACGCGGCTCGCCTTCAGAACGAGATGACCGAGCTCGAAGGCGAGATTGTGCGGGTTACAACTGAACTCACGATGGTCAAGGCAGAGCTGGACGGTGCCTATGGCACTCGGGCTGAACGTGCTGCCGAGGTTGCTTCCAATCCCAGCGTTCAGAAGGAGAATGATGCTCTGGTTACCCGGAACATTGAACTCACTGAGGAACTCGCTCTTCTTAAGGGCCAGCGAGGAGGCGGCGATCTTCAGCAACGGGCGGATACTCTCGAGAGGGAGCTTCGCGAGACCATCGATGACTATGAAGCCATGACCAAGGCCAGCATTGAATTCGAGAAGGAACGTGAGCGCTTTGAAAGCTTCATTGATAGTCTCCGGGATCGTTGCGAGCAGTTGGAGACCCAGTTGGCAGAGGAACGTATTAGCTGGATGAACTTGAGTAGTCCCACGTCTGTGGGCCGTGATGGTGCTTCCGAGACTACATCTACAATGGTTCTCAAGAATGAGTTCAAGAAGATGATGCGTGACACGCGTAACGAGAATATGAAGATCTTGAGGGTGAGTTTCTTTCCAACATACCTCATGTCTCAGTTGACTAACTATTCCCAGGCCGAACAAGAAGAGCGACGCAGAATCGAAGGATTGCTGCGAGCCCTAAGAAAGGAGCATGCGCAGGTGACTGGCAAGATGCCCAGCTCTGGCGGTACTCCGTTATGACCATGACATTCTACATTTCGGGATTGAGCGTTTGAGAAGAAGTGTACATATAGATTGTTTTGTATAATATTTGCATTTGGCAGTCACGATGAAGGATAGGAAATCACGATCCCTTTCCACCCAAACCTGTTTCCCCTCCCATTGCTTCATATTCATATTCTCTTTACTGGGTTTCGCTCTTTGGCCCTCAAGATGAGTGCTACTCAACGTCGGGGGACAGTCTATCAATCCAGTAATCCCAACTCACAGTTCTTCTCAGCGTCACAGAGTCTCCGGCGCGGAAATCGAGCTCGGCATTCCGACTCCCTCTCGCCATCTTACGATAACCTCGATTCATCCGGGTCTATACAGAGCGATGACAGATTTATATACAATGCCATCAGAGTCAACACCTTAAATGAATCCCACTCTCGCTTCGATGCCTCCCTCGCTCATGAGAATCCCGTCCACGAACCAGGTCTAGCAGTAAACATGGCCATGTTCGTTCCAACTGGTTCACAAGACGGGCCCTCTCCCCCCGGCAGTCCATCCAAGAGAAGAAGACCAGCGCGAATAGCGAAGAAACTTGGCCACCACTCGAAAATGTTCTCGGATCAGTATGTGCAGACCCCACGCCAGTTCAAGCCGTCATTAAATGGATCAACCCTAAAGCCAACAACCTCTCACCGGTCACTACGCAAGGCCGTTTCGCTTGGAGCAAACGACAACTCACACAGACCGAGATGGCCCGCGAATATGGGAGCTGCAGTGACGCCTGTCCAACCTCGATACCCACCACCAGAAAGAACCCCTACACCCCCCGGTCTTCCCTCCTTCGGTACTCCCGAGGCAATGCGTTACTCTGCGCGTTTTATGGCCCGAGACAACAATACACGCTTGGGTCGACATGCTGGTCATGCTGATGAACGAACCAGCTCGTACATTGACAGTTTGAGACGATTTTTTGGTTTATCTCCTTCGGCGTCGCGTATCAGTGGGCTTTCTGTTGTTGGGATTGGAAGAGCTGAAGACGGAACTCTCGTGCAGGGTCGGTTTCCGTATCGACAGAGTGGCCATGGAATGAGTGTAGCGCGACAATTGAATGACCATCCGTTTCATGAGCGCTTTCTTCCTGTTGCGAGCCCCGCGGTTGTCTACCCTGGTCGCGAGGCGGATGCGGAAGCTGCATATGTGAAGGAAGCTTCTCGTCGCTCTAACAGACTTGTTCAGCCGACCAATGTTCAGCCATTGGTTGATTCTTCGCATGGACGACTTCATTTATCCCCCGGTAGCCCTCTTCCTTCGAACCCTGCTCCTGTTACGGTCCGTCGACCTGGGCAACCCAGGCCGTCGGCACTTCTCCGCCTACCACACAATTTGTATAGTCTGGACGGATCGCCCAGAAGTGCTGCACCAGCAGTGCCAGTGGAAAGTTCTGGTCTAGGAATAAGGGCACTTGGAGACCATCATCTATCCAACCCCTCCCGTCTACAATCCGTTCTTACAATGGCTGTCCGTGGCGGTGGAGACGACGAGCCTAACACAGGCAGGTCGGTGTGTTCAAACGCCCTATCCTGGGTCAACCCCCAAACGTGTCTGAGCTGCTGTTTGGGCGGCACTGACAACGAGGAAGCAGATGAGTCCCTCGATGTGATCAGCTCTCGGGATACATATGCCACTGCCAGGAGCCAGGTATTGCTCGTCGAATCTCAGAATGAACTACCCGATGGAGATAAACGTACGGGATACCATGGTCTTCGGTCTTGGGTCTCTTCTATGTACGGTGTTATGTTCCCAACCCTTGTGAACCCCACTGTTGTATAGGCTCTGGTTGGGGTTGACATTCCTAAAAGTCTCGTTTCTGCTGTGATACCTCTTGGTTTCATGCACTGACTCTGCACGTATACGCTGTTTGGTGCTTGCATATCGTTATTGGTGTTTCCCCTATGTTTTCCCCTGCGTACATACATCCCACTAATCCCTGCTAAAGTGATGGCGTTGGTGTCGCGACAGATGACTCTTACTACACTTGAAACTGTACAAGATACTTCTCTCTGCTATCCATAACGCATTATCAGATCCATGTCCTTTTCCAGTGGAACTTATGTAGTCAATTAATAACTTGAATTATAACTCCCGAATCCCGAAATCCCATCAAACACTGCCTCTCACTTCCCGGTAACAGAAAAGGTCCAATCCTGCGGGAAAAGACTATACTGAATATCCTCCCTACCCCGGAAGATATCATCATAATGCGCAATCTGTGACCCAGGATCCTTAGCCTGCCCATAATAGCGATCCCCCAAAGCCCTAAAAACAGGATCACTCCACATCTTCTCCATCCAAGCCAGAGCATCAGGACCGGCAGCATCCAAAGGAACGCCATACGAGCGGAATCGCTAACAATATCATCAAGTCAGCAAACCAGCAAACCAGCAAACCAGCAAACCAGCAAACCACACTAAGCAAACAAAAGGGAGGGAGCAACGTACCCAAAGAATCGGCCAAAAGAAAGCATCAGCAACAGAGAACCCCCCAAACAAAAACCCCCGATCCTCCTCCCCCAACTCACTCAGTCTCTTCTTAGTAACAAGTCTAGCAGCATCCCAAATCCCAAACATGCGCTCAATCTCAGCCACCGCATCCTCGGGAATCGACACATTACCCGTATACCGCGCGAGGAAGTTCGTAGGGAATGTATGCCGCAACACCGAGAACCCGGAATGCATCTGCGATGCCGCTGTGCGGGCTAGGGCGCGCAGTCTGCGGTCTCGGGGCCATAGGGCGAGCTCTGGGTGGGATTCTGCGAGGAATTCGCAGATCGAGAGGCTGTCGCTTATTGTTGTGTTTAGGGTGTGCACTTGCAGGATTGGGACTAGGCCGGTTGGGGAGTGGGTTTTTATCTGTATGAGGGGGGTTTGTTTGTTAGTTTATGGGCTGTGGGTATGGGTATATACTTGTTTTTTGCTTTTCTGGTGGATGGGTGTAGTAGATATGCTTGGGAATGTTGGGTTGAGGGTTCGTATATGCTGCTGGGTGGGATTGGTATACTTCAGAGAGTTTGATGAATTGGTGCGTGTGTGGGATTTTGAAGTATTCCAGCACGGCTTCCACGCGGGCTGTCCAGCCTGGGGTTCTTGGTTAGTGGTGATTCATGAGATCCTTTGGGTTGTTCTCGTTCTACTTACTGGAGTACCGGGTGTAGAGACCAATGAGGTGGTAGTCGGGGGTTTCGGTAGCCATGATGATACTGGTGAAGTTGAAGTTGAATTGAGTCGGGGAACTCTTGAGGTCATGAGAATTTCAGGGTACGGCTACGTGCGGGATATACTTCCAGATGACTCAGTGTCATGTCGTGTTCGGTCCCACTTGCCGAAGTGCAGGAGATAGCTTAGTTTAGTCTAATTACCGTCTTACAAATTGTAACTCTAGCATTCGCAATTGATTCAATTTCTACTCTATTCCAGACAGTTAAATCAATTAAAACAAAGTGATTCATCGCTGTGTACAAGAAAACTAAACAAGGCCATAGAAACAGGCAAGAACAAAAAACATTAAGCAAGGTATGTACGTGAATAGAACGGAACGGTAACCAGTTGATAATCACGCCCAAAAATGAAAGCCGTTCATCTCATGTTATCATTAAGGAACTTTTGGGGATACCTCTCATTCTCTATCCCCTGGCATTATACTTCTCGTTGAAAGCATTGACCGCTAGAAGGTCAGTTAGCTTGAATCATAGATCCAATATAGGTTTAAGAGCACTCACCGACAGCAATTTGCCTATACAGCCAGTTGCGCGAACTCTCGTCCTGCACGGGGATGAAAGGCCCATTCGCACCACCTTTGAGAGTAATGCTCATTCCCGTCCGCTCCTTGGAAATGGTCTGGATGTCTGTGAGGCGAATATCCCACTCTGTGTAGAGCTTCTTTGTGCGAACGAGCATGATACGCGCGTACGTCAATAGGACCAGCATGTCCCGGCCAGGAAGTTCCAGGTGGGCGATGTAGTCCTCGTTGAAGTATTTGCCATCGTCGGTTGTCTTCAGCCAGAATTGACCGAGAGCTTCCCGCTGGGAGTACGGGCGGACGATACCGTCAGTGCCAATGAAACGGGTCAGTCGAACGCGATCAAGACCCTCTGCATCGAAGACGGTTGTGGTGTTGCGCACGCCTTCGGCAAGATCTGCGAAGAAGACATGTTAGCTGTGAATATTACAGGAAGAAAATGTGCTTTAACATACTAGAAGCAAGGTCGAAAGCGCCAATTGCTGGCTTGGTGGCAAGTCCAAGAACACCCTTTCCAACGCCCTTGAAGAATCCTTGAATACCTTCCTTCTCGGCGCCCTGCAATGGGTGGCGCGCCAGACCGCCGATACCACTGGCCAAGCTGGTTGCGAATGCATTTCCACCGGCCGTGATTCCGTACAGCGCGTGTTTAGGACGATTGCGGACCTTGGACATCCGTCGTTGGGTCTGGAACTCCTTATCAAGGGTAGCAGCTGCGAGACCCTTGGACATACTTCCAGTGAGCTTAGCCATACTATCAGAGAAACCGAAGACAGATTTCTTGAAGAAGCTTGTGGCACCCTTGGCGATACCAATCCCAAGCTCTTGGGGTCGATCCGTCATGACCAGACCCTGGTATGGCTCATAGAAGATGGCAGCAACACCGGAACTGACGTTGTTGAACAAACCGACAGGGTTACCCAGGAAATCAGCTGAGCCGAGAATGATATGGATCTGGCGGAGGAATTCTTGAGTGTAGTGCGCGCGGATGTTGCCGACCAGTCTGGGGAAGGAAACGCGGGCATTCTCGAGCATCAGGGCATTGAGTCGAACAGGGGCATCGTTGACATTGCCCATTGACATTGTCATGACGTTGACAAAGAACATCAATGGGTTGGAAGGCTGCATGGCATCCTCCACGTTGACGCGCTCAGTGCGCATGAACGAAATGTCCATTTGCATAGGCTGAAGATGAAGAAGCTCGAAGTACACATCTTGACCGTTGTCTGCCTGTTGAGGCTCTGGGATATTGAGGTCTTCGTCGCACAGTGTGCCCTCTTGCTCTTCGGTCCACGACGCACCGGGGATCTTGACAAAGTCAAGCATGGCAAAGACGAAGTCTTCATCCAGCTCCAGAGTCATTTGCTGCAAGAGCAGAGTGGCGTACTTGATATACAGAACACCATAGGAGTCGTCCTTGACCCTAGTCACCATTGTATGGAAGATCGGGTGTGCCTCCATTTCCTTGCCAGTCTTTGGAACAACACTGGGGTAAAGCAAGATGGGGAAGATACCGCCGTAGAGCTGGTTATCGATCTGGATCCACTTGATGGTAGTGTTGAGAGTTTGGTACAATTTCGATTCCCTGAACTTGATCTCAATCTCACGGAAAGTGAGATAGAGCAGCTCCTTCAGGTTCTGGTTGATCAAAGAGATACCAATTCCACCAAGACGAAGCTGGGCCTTGAAATTGACATCCGAGTTCATTTCCTTGACCTCGAATCCGGTGCCGGTGCCTGTCTGTGAGGACTGCCCTCTTTGTTGCTTGTACATACTCTTTGATGGCTTAAAGTTGGACAACACGAGAGTCTGAGTGGGACCATCGGCCGCAATGTTGATGTCAATGATTTTCTGGTATCCACCAGGCTGTGATGGTGGAATCCGCATTGGGATCAGATTTCCGATCTCAGCAAGTTTGATGTGTCGTTCTTTGCCCTGGCAGGTCAACACAAGCGACTTGTTCTTCGTCGCTGGGTAGTCCCATGCATATGGCATGATACTGCGCGGAGGAATGCGGTACCGAATCGGTCTCCAGCCGCTAGTCTGGTCATCTTCATCATCTTCCACGTTGGGATTGGCTTGGTAGAAGATGAATTCGGTGTCACTTTCGTTGCGCATCGAGAAAGGCCAGTTACGAGACTCGAAACTGAAGTGCAGGAAGAGAGTCGCTCCTTCCATGATGATATCGGCCTTGATCAGCTTCTGGCGCTGATTTGCCTTAGCCAACTTGACGTGAACGGTGCCAACGTCTGCGATATTGAATGGAGAAGACCACTGGTTGTTGACGCCTGGGAAACAGAGGCAAAGCTGCTTCTCTGCGACTTGACGAAGGAAGTGAAGTGGAACCAACTCCCCACTCTGGATCTGGAGAACGTTGGACGAACCCGGCTCGCGCACCAAGAGATCCTCATTGAGCTTGCTCTTCAGAATGAAGCGCGGTGCGAGGGTAACCACCTTGGTCATCTTGTACTTGCCCTCGCCTTCGGCAACAGAGACACCGGCATGGAACTCAGATCTGCCTTGGCGGTCAGGGAAGACGACCTCGAACGTACTACCAATAGCCTCGAAACTCTGGGGCTTGCTCCATGCGGAGTCGCCGACCTTCATGATAGATCGGTTTCTCTGGTCCTCGTTGGCATAGGAGTACATGTATGGCAGAGCACGGCCGCCCTCTCTGGGGTCGACTCTGAGCCCTTGGCCCGCTGCATTTCTCGCAGACTGGAGGAATGCCTTGCTCTGGATGTCCATAGGAAGACCAGTCTTGTTCAGAACAAGGTATGGACTGTACACAGAAACCTTGAAAGCACCGCCACTGTTGGGGATGTTGAAGTAGTGAAGCTGCAACTTCAGCTGAAGACCTCGTTCATCCTTAAGAGACAAGGTATGCTCCCTGCGGTAGTCCTGGGCATTGCCATTGACAATGGCAAATTCGCTCTGTCGGAAGACTGTATCCTCCAAATCAATGCTGAGCAAGAGAAGGTGGGACAGTTCAACAACGTGGACCGGGCTCACTCCACCCTTTCTCAGGAAGTTTGTCCAATCCTTCTTTGTATTCTTGTCATAGATGCGGTACTTGAAATCGTACGGCAGAAGGTTCTGGATCTCCACAGGAGCAAAGATTCGGACCCTCATGTAGGGATACACTCCAGTAAGCGAGTCCTTGCTGTCAAAGGTGGCATTGACTTGGAAGTAGAATGGCGGGGCCTGTTGTCCACTCTCACTGACACACTTCACAGTTCGCGTGGGTCGACGAATGAGGTCTTTCCAGAACAGTTGCTCATTTGACCAATCATAGCCGAAGCCCTGATCAGGTCGAATAACGACGGAATGAAGGTAAGCTGATCCAACAGGTGCTGGTCGAGCATCGCCCGGCAGGATCTTCTCAATCTTCAACAAGTGGCCTTCTCCAGGGCTGAAGACACCCAGTTCGACGGGGATCTGTGTGTTGTTCTCGATAAGAAGCGGCGAGCGGAAGGTGATATACTTGACGTTATCTTGTCCTAGTTTGACCTCCACGAGCAGGCGGTGAAGGACATTCTCTTGCTTCGGCTTGAGGGCATACACTGTCTCGCCTTCGCGAACGACAGGAATGCGGCTGACGCTATCGAATCCACTTCCCTCCAGCTTGACACCAACCACTCCACCGTGGCCTTCTGGCGTCAGTGTCTCACGGATAGCTGTGGAGTCTTCAAATCGCCAGGGCGATTCCTCTCCGTCGCTCAACTTCGCCGCCGGTCCATCCTCTCCAGCACTAACATCGGCCCAAACTCTGAGGTCAAAGCCAGTGTAGTTGCGGATTCTGTATGGGGCATCGGCGCCTCTTGGCTTGGAAAGCACATCCTCGACGGTAGAAAGGAACTGGAATGATTTCGAGGCAAGCGCAATGGTAGCAGATGTCACGGTGAGCTCCATAGTCTTGTGGGAGTATGCATCGATAGAGAAGATATCCGGGTTGACCTCCTTGGCCACGTGGAATCCAAGTTGCCAGGGCTCGATCAACGGCTCCCAGGCTGACTTCGAGAAGTTGTAAACATTCAAGAACGTCTCGAAGTTAGTATCAGCGTTCAAAGTGGACGACCAGTCGCGCACGTCAACGTTGAATTTCTTGACGCTCCAGTCTAGCAAAGGTAGATCATGGAGGTCGCCAATCAGAATGACTCGAACACCGTCAATCTTGGCAGACAACTCTTCCCGCTTGAGGACAACCGAGCTCCGTGGTGTAGCTGTTTGATCGTGGTGTCCGCCAGATTGGCTCAGACGCCGAGCCCTATTGGCAACAGTCATGGACGTTTTACTAACAGAGCGCGCTCTAGTGCTCTTGGCGTCGGGGATCTTCTTCACCTCTCCGCCTTCGGCCTGCTGGGCATTCTGAGCCCTCATCTCGGAAGCCTTGTTGACAATTTGAATTGCCATCAGGATATCACGCAAAGACAAGCGAAGAACCAAAGGCTCAAGATGCACTTCAATAGATGTCAAGGCAGATCCCTTTTCTTGCGCTCGGCTATCGACAGACATTTCAAGCGTGAAGTCATCAAGAATTCGGAGACGAGACGTCTCAAACTTATCCATGCGGCACAAGAACATGCCTACCTTCTGAATCTGTAAAGTTGAGACATTTTGATGGGAGATAAGGACCTCCTTGGTACCAAGAACGATAGCCTCAGAGTGGGGGATGGTAGGATTGGCGACCATGATCACTTGGGCATCGACAAGGTTTACCCGGAACGACACGGTCATTGACGCCCCTGCAGCCTCACCGGATGGAGCCTCAGTTATAGCCTTATCAGAGCTGGCAGCGGTAACGGAACCTGTTTCTGACTCCTCGGGGGTCTCGCTCTCTTCCTCCACGACCTCTACTGGCTCTTCGGAGGCAAATGCAGATTGGCTGAATGACTGCAAGGCTGACAGATAATCCAAGGCAAACATGATGCGGGGACTGTCAATTGTCAACATGGCAATGAGATGCTTTTCTGGTCCTGGAGACATGGAGACGCTCGCCATGAACTGCTGCTGGACATCGTTGTTGATCAAAGACATGATGTTTCTGAACTTGTTGGAATCCTGCTTGCGGCTATCGCGGATAGAGAATGAATGGATGAGGAGCTCCGACTCCAATGATCCATCTGTCAACATACGCAGCTTGACTCTGGTATCATTGAGGGAGAACTTGGATAGACTCGAGTCCTCCAGGCGGCCCACGGGCTGGTTGTCATTTGCAAGGATAAGCTCCAACCCAACGCTGTCGACCTTGAAGATCATGTCCAGTCGGACCCAAGTCTCTTTGTTCTCATCGTCGTCGGTGGATGTTCCCTCCGGACTCTGCAGTGTCTGGACGACCTTCGAAGTAGCCTCCCTCGTGGGTTCAGTCACCGAAGAGGGCAGAGACTCCATAGCCTCAAGTTCTTGTTGCTCGGCATCCGTGGCAAAGGCACCCGGTATCGTCTTGGACAATTCCAGCAAGAATTTAAGCTGGCTCTGGGAGATTCGAAGATTGATCGGGGAGAGAGAACCCTCGATTTCCATATCCGGGCGTGGGTTGTTCGCTTGGTGCTCCAAGTAGCAGATACTGAACTCGAGATTGACCTTTTGGATCATCTCAAGCTCTTCAGCTGTGCCATCTTCGAAATGGAATTTAGAGGTAAGGCGGATGTTTCGAACACCGGTAGAGATCACGTTGACTGCAGGGCTGTCCTTTCCTTCGTCCATAGGGATAAACTCATTCTTGGCATAGATCTCACCAAGGTGAGCAGTGATCGTGTCGCGAGGGCGATCATCCATCATCACACGTGGGAAGACCACAATCGGAGTCTTGACAACAACATCGAGTCTCATCCGCGAAGCGTTCTCTTGCAACGAATTGGCCTGTTGGGCAGCAGCCTGGCGAGCAGCATTGAAAATGGCTTGCATTTTGCCGAACTTAACAAGGAAGTTGATGATCTTCCGGTAAGGCTCCTCCAAGAAATTGATCTTGATTGAACCAGACCGCAGATAGACCTCCGAATCATAGCCAGGGTAGGTGTCGCTTTCAGGATCAAAGGTCTGATACTTGAAGTCGGCGAAGTTATCTCCTTCAATTGTCAGGAGGCGCCGAATATCAGAATCCTCTGCAGCGCCCAGATTGACATCGTCGACCAGGGTCAAACTGCCGATCCGAGACTGGATGAGCATAGAGGCACCCACAAGGAAAATTCCAACATCGGCCGTATGTAGACTCAAGGTTGCCAAGCGGACTCCATCGTTGTTGAGGATGAGTGCAATACTCTTCAGGTTAGCCCTGATGCGAAGTTTCCCAGCCGGCTGGGGTTTTTCTTCCACTTCGGGTGTCCCCTCGATGATCTTGTCAGTTTCCAGGCTTTGGCTGGCCGGTTGTTGAGGATTCGTGAACGTAAGCAAGATGAAGTCCAACAGCGTGAGAAGGGTTTTTCTCGTCACGACAAGGTTAATGGTTGAAACCGATATGTCAAGGTTCATGGCGACACCTTCGTACGTTGATTCGAACTCAGGAGACTCAGGCTTGACCCGCACCATCTTCAGCAGGAAGAGATCCTTGTCTTCGTCGGCATCAAAGCCCTTCGACGAGATGATTCTCTTGAACTCAGGGACAGGATTCTCTTCGATGTAATCATCTACGCTCAATGACTTCAGGACAACTTCAGCAACCATGTCATAAGGACGCATGTAGAAGTCCAACTCGAACCCTTCAGCAACCAACTCAACCAGCAAATGATCCTTTTGTGGATCATGGGGGTCAGAGCGAGAGAGCGAACCACGAAGACGACCAACAGTGAACTTGAATTCGAAGTCTCGGCGATGGATGTTGGTAGGAGCGTCCACAGTCTTCTTGGACTGCTCAATCGCCATTTCAGCTTCGTCGTCATCATCAACAACAGGAAGATCTCGAAGAGCCGACGAATGGAAAGATGCTGATCTAGCTCGTGTGGCTGCATCTTCCTTGCCTGCGGCTGCAGTCTTTGAATCCGAGGAAGTGTTGCCTGCATCGAATTGCGGGATTGCAATATCGATCAGTTTCATCAGGCCCTTGTATTTGGTATCTGACATTGATGCATGTAGTTCTGGCAGATGTCCAGAAATACGTGTTCGGGTAAGCTGGGTCACCTTCGGCACGATACACATTTCCAGGGCGAAATCCACATTGATGCGGTCGATGATATGGAAGTTTCTGGATTCGACATTGGTGTTAAGCTGCGCTTTGGTTGAATCAACGCCAGGTCCAATGAGGACTTGCGTGGAATCCAGTTTGATTAGGAATCGATCGTACAGGAGATGTTCGAGTTGCTTGTAGTCTTCCTCTTCGTATTGCCGTTTCTGCTTGGACTGGAGGTCTCGCATGGCCTGACGGTCGACCAGTTCGCTGTTGACACTAGCGTGACCTGCGTCGATAATCAAGCAAAGTGAACTTGGTTGAGTGATGCTTTCTGGGACAATGATCAAGGGCGCATGAATGTCAAACTGCGCGTCAACCTTCTTGTGCTCTTCAAGAGCAAACTCCAAACCGGCCCGAGTTTGCTGTCGCAGTCCTTCGACAGTGGCCCCTGCAGTGTCTAGAAGAGCACCAATAGACTCCATATGACGTTCAGGTGGCTCGAAGAATTTGACAATGCCGACAAGGAACCTGGGGTTGTAAATAACCTCAATACTCTTGAGCTTGACTTTTACCGCTGAATCTGCATCGCTGTCGAGTGGGTTTTTCTCAAGCTGCAGATGGAACAGGCTGTCTTCATCGAGATCATCCGCACTTGCTTGCGAAGCAAGGTCGTCGTCTTCTTCACTTGCCTCCTGTACTTTTGGTTCGGGGAGAGAATCTTTGACCTTGACAATCTGGGGATAGAGAGTTCCAGCGGTGGTACCATCGTACATCTTCAATCCTCCAAGGTCTACATCAAGCAGATAGGAATCAGGGCGTTGAAGAGCTTTGGCTCGGAAATTGTCGAATACTAGCTTCATGACTTCATTGGCCGCGCCATGGGGGTCCCGTTTGAGGGTGAAACTGCCAGCCCTCAGACTCCAGTTGACCTGAAGCTTAACCCATTCACGGGGGACGTCAACGCTTTCGGCGATGGCTTTCTTTTCGTCCCAATCGATGGCGTTGTACAACTCCTGTCGTTGTTCATCGGTCATAGCGGCCTCCTCAGACTCCTCCTTCTTGGCGCCCCAGAACCATTCAGACCATGATTGTTGTGCCGCAGGTTTCTTGACGCCTACGTTCTCTTTCCGTAATTGATTGCGTGCAAGTGATCGCCAGAAGCGGATATCCTCGTAGCTGAGCTTCGTCTCAAGTCTCTCCATTTCCTTGCTTTCATCTGGTGTGAAGGGTTCTTCCTTCTTTTTCTTTTTGAATAGGGCGATGTATGCGATACGGTCATCCCGGCGTTCCTTAATGTAGTCCCAGGTCCAGCGTCTGTTGCGCTCGTGGATCTTGCTGAGCACAGCTTCACCGGCAAATCTCATCCAAGCACGGGGATTTTCCTTTGGTGAGACCTTGGGCTGGATCTTCTTGTACTCTTGATGGCGAATGAAGTAATGGAAGAGGTCGACCAGCATCAGCGCATCACGATATTGATTGTCATCCAGGACGAAACCCAGCTCGTCGAAGAGCAATCGCGCTTTGATGGCAGGACGGTCATATTTGCCCGATTTGTCCATTTCAAGACCAGCACGCCCACTTACGGGACGAAGCATGAACTGATTTCCTTCGTCCGCGTCAATCGCAGTTCTGAGCTTCTCCATTAATTCTTCGTGGCTGATGCCTTGAGCTTCTGCACCGATATCAGAGCCTCGTCCGGTTCCCAGGAGTGTGGCATCTGTATTCCAATACACGGACAGCGCTCCAAGGACAGCCAGCTTATGTGTGACACTGGAGTCTGATTGGATAAAAGTCGGGTTCCAATCTCCGTCTGTGCTGACAGCACTGAGCTCCTTCAAGGTCAAGCCGACGGCGAACGGGTGTCCAGGTGAAGCGATAGAGTCTTCGTAACGGAAATGCACATTCTTGATGGAAATCTGCAGATTATCCACCACAGCCGTGATCATGCTCTGCGTGAAGCTCTGGTTCCGGCGCTGCTCCTCCTGGCTCATGCCTTCCGCATTGCGCTCACGCAGGAGTTCAGCACTCTCGATCCGTTCCATCTTCAGAACATTCGCTCTCCTTTCTTCCTCCTCCGGATCGTAGTCCGCATCCTCTCTTGGCGCTGCAAGCAAATAGACATCTTCGATATCGACCTTCACCGGCTTTCCTTGTAGATTAGACCAGGGGATCGATAATGTGAGCTCGCCGAGATGACCTTCGACGACGTTTAGAGGAAGGTGTAGCTGGTCAAGGGCTTCGCGGCGCAGCTCGAGATTCCGTAGTTTGACGTCGCCCGACCAGATTCCAATGTTGAGCTGCTTTGCGTCAAAGTTCTTAACGTATATCCCCAGGAACCGGTTGAGCAGGTTAGCGACTACTCCTTCCAACATGGTTGCGGCGTGCGGCCGTAGACCGGGCCCGGTGGATTGGCACTATGGCCGGCGCGGATGTCGGTTCAATGGCGTGAGTCGGGGATTTGATGACAGTCTGAGATCTAGGGTAGCTGGAGAGTTAGTAACGAATTCAAGTTGGCGGGGAGTTGGTCTCATCGGTGAGGTCCTTACGTCGTCACTGTTGAGAACCCTGGCACACGGGGGACAATCAAGCCATCCAGAGCGGGCTGGGCACGCGATACCGAGGAACAAACCCCTCCAAGAAGAGAGAAGTGATCGGTATGGAATGAATCGTGGGTCAGGTAAATTAATCGAATGTGATAAGAGGACCAGCGCTAAATTAAGAGAATGAGGTTGGGTATCCAACGCCAATGGCCCGTTGAGAGGAAAGGTGCTATCCGTTACGCAAAGGTATGGAGGAGGTACTCGATACAGACGGGGTACAGCTAGTTACGCCAACCACGGCTATGATTTCCGCCCTGCCATAGTACTTGATGATACGCAATACTCAGGCATTCCAGCTCTTAGTACTAATCGGGGGCCAATACTCATTTCCCTGCAGCCTACTGCCTGAAATATGCAATTCATAGATGTAGCAACAGCAACCCCCTACTCGTACTGTACTGATGGATACACTTGTTTACCCCAAAGGTGACGTAGATTCCCTGCCAACTTTTGCTGAGTCAGCTAGGGCGCAGCCCCCCGTGCTGTCAGGTCACGTGTATCAGCACGGAGCCCCGGGTGTCTGCCTCAGGCCATTATCTTTGCAGTTCGGGTCGCTACGGTCCGCCCGAAAGCAGACCACACCTCATCACTCGGTCACTTCATTTCTGGATATTCTTATTTGCTCCCTCCCGGAAAACCCACGCCCTCGACTTTGAGACCAAGTCATTTTCCGGGTGTATACCCTCATCTCCACTCTCAAAACCCCTTGCCAGCTTTTTTAAAGTCCAATTGGGTGGGTTGATCCTGCAATCCGGCCGGACCCGAGGCTTTTCTTCTCCGATCTTGCTAACCCGACGACCACGAAAAGCTGTATCCCCGCCATGCTGTACCGCAACTTCGCTGCCCGCTCTGCGCTCCGCGCCCTCTCGAGCTCCAATGCCTCCGTGGCTCGCTCTTCTCTGAGCAACCAGATCTTCAAGGCTCAGATGACCTCGTCTGCCCGCAATGCGATCCGTCCTTCCGCGCCGAGCTTCGCGCTTGCTGCCCACAAGCCCGTTACCACCGCTCTCGTGCGGTTCTCTTCTTCCTCCGCCCAAGTAAGAACTTGGATATGAATTGTGATACGCAAGGGGATTCAATGGCTAATGACATGATAGGGCAAGGATGAGGATGATATCGATGTGATGGCGGGTATGCGTTCCGAAGCGGTACGTACTTTTCAAATCATATCAAGCGACGACCATTGAACCTAGGACGGATGCTGATTGTGCGAGTATAGAAAATTATCGGCGAGACCTTCAGCCTGAGCCACGTCCCCAAGGAGGCTCTCTACCTTGGTCTGGCCGGTGTGGTCCCCTACGTGGCCACCTCTCTGCAGACCGTCTACCTCTCCTACGAGATCAACCGCGCCGCCTCTCTCGGTGATGGCCTGATCTTCTCCGGCCAGTCTGCTGAGCTGATGCTGCACATGCTGGAGCCCATCCAGGTTGGCTACGGTGCCGTGGTAAGTCCAATTCCGAGTCTAGCCCCTCTCAGTTTGCATATTTGCTAATTACCCATTGCGGTTAGATCCTCTCCTTCCTCGGTGCCATCCACTGGGGTCTCGAGTGGGCTGGCTACGGCGGCAAGTTCGGCTACCGCCGCTACGCTGCCGGTGTCATCGCCCCCGCTGTGGCCTGGCCTACTCTGCTGTTCCCCGTTGAGTACGCTCTGATCAGCCAGTTCCTCGCCTTCACCTTCCTGTACTACAACGACGCCCGTGCCGCCGCTGCCGGCCGTGCTCCCCACTGGTACGGCATGTACCGCTTCGTCCTGACCTTCGTTGTCGGTGCCAGCATTGTTGCCACCCTGATCGGCCGTGAGCAGATCCAGCAGACCCTGGTCTCTGAGCACTCCATCAAGGACAAGATCAACGCTCTGATCTTCCTCCAGAAGAAGGAGAAGGAGGAAGCTGACGCTCGTCGCCGTGGCGAGATCGAGGAGACCGACTAAATTGCCTTTTGACAAGGTGAGGAGCTCGATCTCCTGAGACAGAACCTCTGTTTGCATTACCCGTGATTTCCTGTAGAATATACGCAGAACGCACTAGGGCGGCCACTGAAATTTTTCTTTTGTTAATTGGAGTGTCCATAGCTGGAGACTAGAGTCGCTATATTTTTTTGAGTCTATACGAGATAAGTTAAGATAAGATGTAAAGGCAATCTTGGAATCTTCGTAGGTGGAAAGTATATTCGAAGAACAGAGCGACACGTGCTTGGCACCCAATCGCACATCTGCAGGAATACCTGAAAAGGGGAGAATTAATGATCGACTATCAGGTCACAAGAGACCGGGTTGCCGCAGATCGGCGTCGGGTCTCCGAATTCCCCCCAAGCAAGGAGGGAAATAAAAAGGATAACTGCCTCTGGGATCCCGGGGGTCACGGGGTGCCGAAAATATTTAACTAGAGATCGACTATGAAGACACTAGTCACAATCCTGTATAGTAATAATCAGTAATAGTGGTGGAAAAGGGTACTTGCCCGAAGTCTTTCTTCAAGTCCAAGTCCACGGGCACACAAGAAGTACACAAACAATAGAGATGAGATACCCGACTGGATCGGGAAGGTAGAGCGAGAACACCTGCATGGTACACATAAGCCACCAGAAAACATGCTGGAATCCATAGATCGACACTATTTCTTTTCTCAATTCCTTTTTCTTTCTTTTCTTTTTCCAGTAGAATTCCATTTTCGCCGAGTGGGGATTTTTGCGTCTTCGTGTGATCTACTTTCGCACGTCCCTGTCCCTGGCAGAGAGATCCCCTCCACGCGTTAGACCATAGTGGCCTCTTATAGGGCAATGAAAACATTGGCAAGACCGGTTCTCCAGACTGGGGAACCTGGTACGGGGTGATGGAAACGTCATCAAATCATAGGTAACAGGCCAAGACCTTGGACATAATGCCAATGCCAGTGTTAGTATTACCGTAATGATAATTAATGCTAGGTATGATCAACCCCAGAAGTAGGGAGCAGAGGGGTTCCCGTTTTCCAGGGGCATTCGAATGTTCTTGGCCTCGACTAGAATCTAGGGACGCCTAGCCCTACTGTCGGCTTACTCTAAAAATCAATAATTAATTTTTCCAGCATTTCTCCATGAATCGGAAGTAATCTGCAAAGGTCTAAAATAAGGGGGGTTCTAGAACTAAGCAAAAATGGATCGTGTCATGTGTTCGATCTACATGTGGAGGCCATAGTATGGAGTATATAGCATGGAGTCTAGTTGGAGTCAGAGTATAGCTGGAGTATAGTCAGGAAGAAAGGAGAAATAAGCATAATTTCAATAGATATAAGGGGGGGAATAGCTCGATGCCCAAGGGGTATTATAAGTTAAGTATAGAAGGTATAGAAGAAGTGGGGGAGTGACGAGGTCTTCTGATCAGAAAAAAACCCCGAACCGGATTTGTGGCTCCCCTCCTTAGGCCCACCCCTTCGGATAAGTGGGAGAGCTCCCTTCATTTTTCCCCTTCTTTTCCTTTAACTTACATATCTTCTACTCTCTTCACCTCTATACCTCTACCTCTACCTCCACCTCCTACACCTCTACCTCCTACCTACGCCATCTTGGTGACCGCCAAACTACACCCAAAGTTGCCCGGTCACCGGTACGTCACGGTCCACTTTTCTGCCAACGCTGTGGTCCCCCCATATCACCGCCACCTCGTAGTTCTTCCCCTCCCTTAAATCCTGGCGTAAACTTGCTCGCCCTTTCTCCCACTTTTGCCTTAATTTCACATACACTATGCGGAACCCTTTCGAACTGGACTACGATAGCGTGGACGGGGATTCGGAGCCCGCGGGTGATTTTGAGCTCTCTGAAGAACATCCTCCCCACGAGGGGCGTCCTCGACGTCCCAGTCTCGATTATCGACCAAAGCAGCAGGACGATGGAGACCGCTCTCTGCTGCAGAACGAGGATAAGGTTCCTGGTGATCTGAAGAACCGATTCATTGGTACCATTGACCAGGGTACGACGAGTACTCGATTCATCATTTTCGACTGCACAGGCGTCCCGGTCGCCAAGTATCAAACCGAGTTCCGTCAGATTCACGAGCACCCAGGGTAGGTGTCAAACTCTCCCTTCTTCACATCTATCAGAGACCCCAGGATTAATTTGCCCCGCACCCCACAGATGGCACGAACAAGACCCCTACGAATTGGTCGAGTCGGTCTACATTTGTATGGAAGAAGCCATGAAATCGTTCCTTGCCGCTGGTCACGACGCATCCGACATCGAAGCCGTTGGCATCACCAGTCAAAGAGAGACCGCCTTGGTTTGGGACTGGGAGACGGGCGAACCCCTACACAACGCTATCACGTGGACCGACACCCGCACTGTCAACCTGGTGCGTGAACTCAAGGCCAAGCCCGGCGCGGATGAACTCGCCAATATTTGCGGTCTCCCTCTCTCTACATACCCGTCCTCGGTTACACTACGATGGATGCTCGACAATCTCCCCGACGTCAAGTCCGCATACGATGACGGTCGGGCTGCATTCGGAACCGTCGATTCCTGGCTCATTTACAACCTCAACGGTGGCCCTCAGAACAAGCGTCTGGTTACTGATGTGACCAATGCCTCGCGGACTATGTTCATGAACCTCGAAACCCTCAAATACGACGATCGGTTGTTGAAATTCTTCGACATTGACAAGACCAAGATCCGTCTCCCAGAAATTCTTCCCTCGGCTGACCCCGAGGGCTTCGGTCGGATCGTTGAGGGCCCCTTGGATGGTGTTCGCATCACCAGTTGTTTAGGTGACCAGGCTTCAGCGTTGGTCGGCCATTGTGCATTCACTCCTGGAATGGCCAAGAACACATATGGCACTGGTTGCTTCCTTCTCTACAATGTGGGCGAAAAGCCTGTCATCTCAAAACACGGCTTGCTAGGCACTGTCGGTTTCCAACTGGGTCGGGATCGCAAACCCGTCTATGCACTGGAAGGCAGTGTGGCTGTGGCGGGTAGTGGTGTGTCTTTCTTAATGAACAACCTCGGCTTTTTCCGTGACTCGCGCAAAGTCAGTGATTTGGCCGCCAGTGTACCTGATAATGGAGGCTGCATTTTCGTTACAGCGTTCAGTGGTCTCTTTGCTCCTTACTGGATCGATGATGCCCAAGGAACAATCTGTAAGTTGATTTTCCCTGCGTCTCCAAGATTCATTTGCTAACGTCTTCCAGGGGGTATCACCGCCCACACACAAAAAGGGCACATTGCCCGTGCAACCATGGAAGCAGCCTGTTTCCAAACAAAAGCTATCCTCGATGCCATGGCAATGGACAGTGGCAAGAGTCTGACGGAATTGGCCGTCGATGGCGGCATGAGTAATTCCGACGTTTGCATGCAGGTACGTATACATCTCACCGACATCTATACATTGCTAAGTTGTTTCTGTTCAGACCCAAGCCGATATCATTCAGATCCCCGTCGAGCGCCCCTCAATGCACGAAACCACTGCCCTCGGAGCCGCGATCGCCGCCGGCTTCGCCGTGGACATTTGGAAAGACTTCTCTGAACTTAAGCACATGAACCGCGCCAATCGGGCTTCCTTCACCCCCCAAATGACCCCCAAAGCCAGCGGGCGCATGTATAAAAAGTGGTCCAAGGCCGTCGAAATGTCCCGCGGTTGGATGAACGACGAAGACCGCATGGAACACGACGATGACGAATAAACAACATTTCTATAAATATTCATCGAGACGACACCGCAAGCCGGTCTGTCATCGACCCTGGGAACCGAGTTCGTACTTCGCACGACTCGCATACGTGAGAGAAGCGAGGGAGATTTGAGAGAGGGCGTTTTCATCAAGACCATACCATACCATCGGACACCGCACATATCCTCTCTTGGACAATCCGGATCATCGATCTTTCTTCCGGGGGGAAATCTGGACACAACCCCACGTTTCCATTTTTTATATATATTTAGAGAGCCTCCCTGATTAGAAAGTCCGTCCTAATAGGCGTGTGTTTATCACGCCAGCCCCTTTCCTCCCTTCAATTCATGAATTATGATGGGAATCGTCTTTTTTTCCAGCGTGGATATGAGGGGATGAGCTGGAAAGTTTTATTTTATTTTCATTTTTTACTTTTTCATTACGCTGTTGACTACTCTTCCTTCGGATGATGTTATGTTGGCCTAGCATGTGTATATACCTACCGTTCCGTGAGAAAATGAAGCCAAAAACATTCCAAATCATCATCTATCTGTGTTCATCTACTCCTTATATCTAACTTGTATAAAATGTATCGACTGATATTCTTGACAGTGCAAAACATGACCTACCAGCATCTCCCAAATACAAAGCATTCTCCCCTCCCTCCAACTCTAACCCAACCTCATCCATTACATCTCTACCCCCATAATCCCGAAACAAGCTGAAATAGGCATCACCATTCAAACCCCGAAATCGGCGAAAATCAGCTATGACATCATACCAGTGGGGAAGCAGAATCATGTTCGTTCTGGAACTATGATTTCACTGCCTCGGGAGGAGATGAAGTCATCACCCAGAGATTGGGACTGAACTTCTGGGTCCGTGGTTGAGTTTAGGGTTTGTTCTATATCTGGCGGTTGCGGCCTTAGGTTTTGGTTTGGGGGTTTTGGTATATGTAGACCCGTGGACTCGGGTCTGCATGTTGTATGTTAGGTTATGTTTATATTTCATCTGATAAAGAACTAATACAGTGTACCCGTGCCATACCACCTTACTATATTTAAACACTAGTACTCAACTGTTGGTTTCGAAATCGATTCTATGGTGCAAATGTACGTTGCTTGGAACTATTATATATACCGCAATACCCCCAGAGATTGAAAATGAGGAATTGCCCGGCAATTTAGAAAATAAAGACTGATGACCTCGTGCTTTATCAATCGAGGGTGACTGGCCCCGCATAGAAGTGCCCACCCTCAACGCTTGACTTGTTCACATCAGTGTCTCGTCGTGCGACGCCGTCATTCTTAGCCATTTCAAGTGATGACAGTGAAGGTCCTCCCCTTGGACCTTTGTTTCAACTAATCCTCTGTCCGAGTTTAGCCCTTGCAAAGTGCACTTATTATACCGGTATCGTTGGTGAAGTAGATTCACAGTTCCCGAATATCATGCGTTGTCCATATCATAAAGAAATCACCACAGTACCAAGAAACATTAGTCCAAGGTCATTACCAATTCGAAGTAAAAGACTGGCCTGACTCGGCTGACACGGCTGTCGCACGGGGGTCAACCGTCCACGGCATCCGCGGGCCCCGAGACTCCGTCGTGTCTTGGCTTAACCCAAGCTTCATGTTTACATGTATATAAAGAGACAAGGAGGTAAAAACACACGCATATAATTGAAACCATTTCATATCCGCCATTCTCTTGCTACAACAGAAATACACAAGCCCACAATATGAATTCAACCCCGATATCCCACAACTACTATCCACCCTGGATAACCCTACCCCATTATACTCCCAATGAGAGCACAGTGATTTCACTAATCACTCGCTTTGGTTTCCAATGGGGGTTTGTTCTTGGCTCCTCGTTCTTCCTCATAGGTCGTCTACGGCCGACAGCGAGCTTGTCGGATCGGATTGCGTTTACATGGATGTGTCTGAGTATGTCTATATTTACTTATATCCCTCCTCCCTCCTCCCTGTTCCCTATTACCCCATTGAAAACATGGATAGCCGAACATCAAACCTCCTAATATATCATATATCAACAGCGGGATTCATCCACCTATTCTTCGAAGCCCACTTCGTCATCAACCATAAAACCCTTGCCGGTGGCCAAGCTCTGTTTTCCCAGTTATGGAAGGAATACTCGCTTTCTGATTCGCGGTATTTGACGTCCGATGCGTTTTTGATTTCTATGGAGGCTGTTACTGCGGTATGTGCATCTACATCTACATCCACTCTACATGGAAAGATAACCTCGTCCTTACTACTCCTGAGCTACATATTAATAATATACCCTTCTATCCAGTTTGCATGGGGCCCCCTGGCCTTCTTAATTGCGTACTGCATCGCTGTACAACATCCAATCCGACATGCTTTGCAAATTATCATCTCGACCGGTCAGGTTTACGGTGATGTGCTTTACTATGCCACCAGCTTGCTGGATGAATCGTATTGTCGACCGGAAGGGTATTACTTCTGGTTTTATTATTTCTTTTTTAATCTTATTTGGATGGTTGTTGGTTGTTGTGAGTATTTCTATGACTGTGATATGATATTTTGGGTGGTTATTGACGTGTATCAGATTATGTTAAAGAGAGTGTTGTTGAGATTTGGAGGGGTTTTGAGACGCTTCAGGCGTTGGAGAATGAGAAGAAAAAAGATTGATTTGATGGAGGGCCTATTGCGATGGGGGTGGGGGGGGTTGGACTTTATGGTGGGAATTGACTGATGTCCCTTTGTTTCCATGGTTTATGGTGGTTCTCGATTCCAGGGATGTTAGCAGCGGGGTTATATATTGAACGTGAGATCCTTTGGTAGTTTTAAGAGTGCGAGTGATCATTGTCATTCGGACAGGATATTCATGTTGTTGTGTTGGTGATGCTCTCGGTTGTGTATAATATATTGTTCCACTCCGCAGGGATGCGCTAAATTAGACTACCTCTGTGTAAAACCAATTCTATATGCAACGACCCACTTCATTTTATACAAGATGCCAATGAGTCGGATGATATCCAACGGAAGTTCGCAAGTATTAAGTTTGGCTTACACCAACAGCCCCAAGCAGCCGCAGAGGTTGAAACAGGGATACAATGCGAGACATTACTGTTCCAGGTCCACCTCGTTCTAGGGAGACTAGATCTACAGCTACATCGGACGATGCAATCAATAATAATGTATGACATAGACGTACAGAGAATATGTACAGTACAGATCCGCTCAAGCCAGAATGGCATTATCCGGCAGAACAGCGAGGAAATAATCACACCGACTTGCAGACGTCAAATTGAGCGACAAGATGTAGAAGAGAGAACTAAGGAAAAATGGTATTTTCAATAAAGACGCCCGAACGATCCGGGGATGCACGATAGAGACACAAAGCATAGGTGGTTTTCGTAGAGCCAGCAGGAAAACAAGAAGACATAATCAAACAATCACAGAGGAGAGAGGAAGGGAAGAGGGAGTAGAAAAACAAAGAGCTTATTCTGTGGCAGTGGGGGGACCCCCGGCCGCCGTGGATGGGTTGATATTGGTCGACTGCAAGGCATCGGGAAGCTTGACTGGAGCCCTCGGGGATGACGCTAGCTTCTTGATTTTCTCGCCCCTCAGCACTTGTTCCATCTCCTCCTTTGTGAGCGTCTCGTACTCGATCAGCGCCTTGGTCAGGAGCTCGAGTTCGTTGCGCCTCTCGGTTAGAATGGTGGTTGCGCGGTCACGGGCTTCCTCTACAAGTCGGCGCACCTCGCCCTCGATTTCTTGCTTGGTTTCGGATGACAGGCTGTCGTAGTTGGTTGAGAGGTCGACATTGCCTAGTTTCTTGGAGTATCCGAATCGGGTGATGAGTGTGAATGCCGTCTCGGTGGCGCTTTGGATATCCTACAAAGGAGTTAGTATTTGACGATATGAATGGCAAGACGCAGTGACACTTACAGCTGAGATACCACTGGTGACGTTGTCGTGGCCGAAAACCAGCTCTTCCGCAGCCTTACCGCCCATGGAGACGGCAATATCTGCCAAGTATTCGGTGTAGTTCCTGGAGACTGTGTCCATCTCCGGCAGGAAGTGGGTGATACCCAGAGCCATACCACGGGGAACAATGGTGATCTTGTAAAGTGGAGTAGAAGAAGACGTGAAGTGAGCAACCAGGGCGTGACCGGCCTCGTGGTAAGCAGTCAAAAGCTTGTCCTTGTCCTGGATGACACGGCTGCGAGCCTCGGCACCCATCATGATCTTGTCCTTGGCATAATCAAAGTCGAAGGAGCCAACCTTGCTCTTGCGGTCACGGCTGGCGTGGATCGCAGCCTGGTTAACCAGGTTCTCTAGGTCAGCACCAGAGAAGCCGGGAGTACCACGCGCAATAACACCAATGTCGACATCGGGACCAAATTGGATCTCCTTCATGTGGTGTCTCAGAATGTCCATACGGCCACGGACGTCCGGCAGATCGACGACAACCTTGCGATCAAATCGACCAGGGCGAGTCAGGGCCTTGTCCAGCAGCTGGGGATAGTTGGTAGCACCAATAATGATGACGCCACTGCTCTGTGAGAATCCGTCAAGCTCAGTGAGAAGCTGGTTGAGCGTCTGCTTTACGTAGGCAGCATCGCGCTCATTCCGCTTGGCACCTATCGCATCCAATTCATCGATGAAGATAATAGCGGGAGACTTGCCACGAGCCTGAGCAAATAGATCACGGACTCGCTTGGCACCGACACCGACGTAGACTTCGTCGAATTCAGATCCAGACATGTAGAAGAACGGAACACCTGCTTCCCCAGCAACAGCACGCGCAAGCAGGGTCTTTCCAGTACCGGGAGGGCCGACGAGGAGAACACCCTTGGGGAGCTTACCACCGAGGGAGGAGAAACGCTCCGGGTTGATGAGGAATTCCACGAGCTCTTGCAATTCGTCCTTAGCCTCGTCGCAGCCGTGCACATCAGTGAAGCGCGCGGTTTGCTGTTGGGGCTGGGCTTCCTTGTCTTGGGCGCCGCGGACGTTTTTCAGAACTCCAGTGGTTTCCACCAGGATAGTGACCGTGACCAGAGAAATATAAGCGAAGAAGCCGAAGATGAGCAAGAACTTGACCCAGCGGAACACAGTGCTTCCCAGAGACTCATCAACCACAACGTAGAGAGGAGCCTCCTTAGCACCGGTGCCGTTTTGCCGAGTTGCCATTCCAATTTGACTGCCAGTACTCCGAGCGGCGACTGCTTGGCCAACCGCCTGAAGCTGTTCGGGGTTAAGGTTTCCGTGTTGTCCGGCGAAAGCTCCGTCGCCACCGACACGCGCTTGAGCCTGCTGGAGCAACGTATCGGTTGTGCTATCGCTGGCATAATAACCACTTCGGTGCCGCTCGAGAACGATTCCGGGCATGTTGGCACGAAGAAGAGCCTGGTAGAAAGCATTCTGGGCACTGGGGCTGCTGGGACTGTTGTTTGCGATCTTCTCCTTCTGGGCTAGCATATAGTGCGTTGATCCTCCGGATCCTCCGAACAAGAATCGTTGCTGCTGGAGCTTGGAGACACCATTAAGCTTCGGGGCTGGGCGTAGGGAGTTGAGACGGAAGGGGGACAGAGTCGAAAAGGAACGGACACCGGGGAGAGTACGAGGTAGCGCAAAGGATGTGGTCCGGAGTGAGCTGTCTGTTGCAGGCAACCCCGGGTTAGCTTGATGTTTCCAACGGATTCTGATAGAGGAGGTTGACATACTTGTGCTCAACAGTGACGACCATACACGTTGCGCGGGACGGCTAATGACCTCCGCTCTCAACGTGTCAATGGAAACGGTTTCCAGGCAATCCGGCAGCGGAACGCGCTGAGAGGTCTATATCCATCAGCATCCGAAAAATCACACGGGGTAGAAGTATGCCGTACCACCACATTCTCTGGTCTGCCAGAGCTCCGCTGGAGAGGCTCGCTGACATGGGCCGCCGGAGTTCGCCCGATCTGTCTGAAGGGAGCGGCTAAGATGTTGGACATTGAGGGCCAGAGCTCCGATGTCACGGCCGTAATATTCTGGTAGTAAATCGCTGTCATCAGTGGGATATTCGCAATAGGATATAAGCAGCACTCACGGGAATCGGGGCTTGGAAAGCCATGACTGTCCGATGTACAGCGGCACTCGGCCGCGTGCGAAGATGAGGGTCTGCTCCCCTGAGTCAAATGTAGAAAGTCGAGATTCGTTAGACTCTAATAAAAGAGCATGCCATCGCTGACGAAAGAGTTGAGGTGATGGCCGTTTGATGCGGCGAAAGGCAATTGCCACTTTGCCCCAATCGGACTCCGTAGCGATCACGTGGTGGTCGAAACAGTTCACTCTGGAAGGCAATACCAGACAGCTTCTGCTAATTCCGTTAGGTCTTCGTTTGATAGGACAAAATCTGACTCGTTTCCCCTCTTTGCACGAAGGAAACAGTCTTCGAATGGGATACGCATCGAGCCCGAAATTTGGTGTTGGTTCAAACGGGGATCTCTGTTTCGGGTAATGTGCATTGTTTGGATAGGCTTAACAGAACTGCGAGTTGTTTCGTCAAGTACCCATTGCTTGATTGTGACGCTTTCCCTTCGAGTAACCTGAATTGTCAGGGCGACCTTAACCTGTTGCTCCGATTCACGTAGCCAGAACAAAATATCTTGCTTTAGTTTGGCCATTGGTTCAGCCCATCCTGCTTCAACAAGGATTGTGGGCCACTTCACATCTCTTCCAGGTATATGAATCGAGGTCTTCCAGGAAGAATCCGGCTTCTTCTTCCTTGTGAACCCCTCAACCTTTGCATCTCCTGTAGGCACAAGGCGACTTTCCTGGCCCCGATGCCAAGTCGAAAAAATCTCACTGAAAGCACGATGGGCAGCCTCATGCACATCAGAAGGCGGCATTTTGAGGACAATAGTATGAGAAATGAAGTTGTAGGTCGCCAATGAATCCACAAGGAGGCTTTCTGCAGAGTCGTCCTCGAAACACTCCTGGAAGGAACGATCATCCACATGATCAAATATAACATATAGGCCGTCACCGTGTTGGCCCTCCCTGTCATAACGCTCTAACTCAAGTTCAAAGCACCTAAGACATTGCTTTACACCTTGATATTGGTACCTTGGTGTGGTAGCAGGAAGACCTTCTTCTCTTAAGATATCGTCAGCCATGATAGTACCTCCGTGTTTCTTTAAGATATTGAAATTGATGGGAGCGAAAAGTAGCGAAATAAAGTATATGTGGGCAACTATGACGAACAATCATGTCATTGGAAAGCGGACCTGGTGTCTCTTAAATCTGTGGATAGCCTGTCGGGGGTATCAATCAATCTACCTATCAAAGTTCTATTAACCTGTTAGAGCCTAACTAGTATCGTAATGGCTATGCAGGCGCTTCTTTCCAGTTGAAGCAAGAACTCATGTCCCGTACGCTTGATGTTGAGTGTCTGCTGACTTTCATCTCTTGTTTGGAATTTGACATTCGTATTTAATGGCCAAGGGGGAAAGACGTGACAGACAGGTGTTTTTATCGGAAAGGCGCTATAGATAAGCTGAGTCCGTGGTTCGGGCCCGAACCCTGAACTTGACGTTCTCAACCTCTTTGTCTCACTATGTGATCATGTCCTATCTTTGGGTCTGTCTTCCCTCTAAATTGCCATGAGCTCCCTCCTCGATGGCTTTATCCAGGACTTTTCTCTTGCACTGAACGTGTCAGCTACACCTGATCTCCACACCTTACGATTTTTCTACAATGACCCGAAAGAAGATCTTTTTGGTTGGATCACCTCTTTCTAGTACTCTGAAGTGGGACAAGGAAGAACTTCTCAATAATCCCATATATCCCTTCGAGGAAACCTACCCACAGCGTCGGATAAGTGTGGAAGAGTCTGCCCGGGCCAAATGGAGAGCGCTACCATCAACACACGAAATCGATCACAATATTTCCTACCAGGGGCATGTGGACCCGGAATTTCTCGTCTCAGATCAGCTGGAGGTTGCACCAGATGCATCGCGGCATCTACAAGACTCGGTTCTCTCGAAATTCTACCACCATTCCTTTCTTGTCCACGAAACCTCCGAGGTATCTGCTTCGGAGTTAGAGATAGCAGACTCCACGCAGGAGAGCAGTTTGGGGGAGGATAGTGTGATTACATCTACGTATGACAAAGACGCCCCGAGGTCACCTCGCATACTTCATATCCCTGGACCCCTCCGCGATCTGCAGGACCTGCCTACGGCCAAGTACATCCAATCCATTGCACCGCAAACCATGACTGTGAACCTGATCGTGGCGGTCCTGGCCGCTCATCCCTCACGCCGCGTGGTTACGCGGCAATGGAAAACCGAATTGGACATTGTTGAGCTCGTCGTTGCCGATGAGACGAAGACAGGATTTGGGGTCAACTTTTGGATCAAACCTGAGAATCCATCTGTCAACGACAGTGAAACAGGGCTGGCTCGATCACTGGCAGGCCTTCGACCCTGCGATATTGTCCTACTGCGTAATGTTGGACTGAGCACATTCCAAAGCCAGGTGTACGGACAGAGTCTGCGCAGAGGAATGACTACAGTTGAGCTCTTACACCGACAAGCAGTTGATGTGACGGATGCAGTAGGATTCTATGAGAGCATTCAGAGTAACGTCCAGGATGCTCCACTACAAAAGACTCGCAAAGTACGAGAGTGGTTGCTCCGATTCGTTACGGATGCGGCAGGCGGTGGCTCCGGAATGCTTGAAACACGTGGTCGACTGCCTCCGGATACGCAGTAACGTTAGCTTAAACTTATACATTATAGCAATATAGCTATATGGATGCTACATTGCTATTGTGCCGAATTGAGAACTAAATTGGATGGAATTCCAAGTTGGAAGTCATGTTTCTACTGCGATGTGATACTCGTAAGTTAACTTACATGTACTCCTACATGTACCTGTCCTGGACGGGAGACCCGTCTCCACCTTCAGGGGGGCGATACCTCATGACCTCGCCATTGGAATGAGGTCTGGGTTCACAGGGGTCCGATGCTAACCACGCAATAAGATTGGATGTATACGCCGGGATGGGCTGGGCTAAAAGCTGAGACCTCAGGAGATCCTATACAGGTCGATGCACGCGTCGAATTCTTCATGGTCACACCTAACATACAATGATACATAAAATACACTAAAATAAAAGAATTAAAGGCTTAAAGGAATTTAGAAGACAGATCAACTCCGAATTCAGAGTGAGTGAAGCAATATAGGACGCATCTATACATACCCCTTTTCCCGCAAACAGAGCCCCTCCAATCACCGCTCACGTGCCCCCACTTGGACGAAAATAAATCCATCAACGGCCAGGTGTTCCCTAAATACTGAGTCTCTCCTTTTGCTTTGCCTCCACCTACTTTTTCTAATTTCATCTTCACTACCAATTCAATATGAAGGGTATGGCTCTATACAATGCTTCCCCACGCTCAACACTGACTCTATATAGCTCTCATTCTTGTTGGAGGGTTCGGGACCCGTCTGCGTCCTCTGGTAAGTCGTCGATCTCCCTTCCCATTGACCTACCCCTCCGACCGGGAAGTGGTGAGTTTTGATTTGGTCTATAATGCTAATGCTCTGGTCTAGACTCTCACTCTCCCCAAGCCCCTCGTGGAGTTCGGGAACCGGCCCATGATCCTTCACCAAGTCGAGAGCTTGGCTGCTGCGGGTGTCACCGATATTGTTCTTGCTGTCAACTACCGCCCCGATGTCATGGTTGCAGCGCTCAAGAAATATGAGGAGGAATACGGTGTTAACATTGAGTTCTCTGTGGAATCCGAACCGCTGGGCACGGCTGGCCCGCTCAAGCTGGCGGAGAAGATCCTGGGCAAGGATGACTCGCCTTTCTTTGTCTTGAACTCAGATGTCATTTGCGACTACCCGTTCAAGGACCTTGCCGATTTCCACAAGAAGCATGGCGAGGAGGGTACCATTGTCGTCACCAAGGTCGACGAGCCCTCCAAGTACGGTGTCGTTGTCCACAAGCCCAACCACGCCTCCCGCATCGACCGCTTCGTCGAGAAACCCGTCGAATTCGTTGGCAACCGTATCAACGCTGGAATCTACATCCTTAACCCCAGTGTCCTGAAGCGCATTGAGCTGCGCCCTACCTCCATTGAACAGGAGACCTTCCCCGCCATCTGTAAGGAGGGCCAGCTCCACTCTTTCGATCTCGAAGGCTTCTGGATGGATGTTGGTCAGCCCAAGGATTTCCTGACCGGTACCTGCCTGTACCTCACCTCCCTGGCTAAGCGCAACCCCAAGCTTCTTGCACCGCACTCCGAGTCCTACGTGCACGGTGGCAATGTCATGGTCGACCCCTCTGCCAAGATCGGCAAGAACTGCCGCATCGGCCCCAACGTTGTCATTGGTCCTAACGTCGTGATCGGCGATGGTGTCCGTCTGCAGCGCTGCGTCGTCATGGAGAACTGCAAGGTCAAGGACCATGCCTGGATCAAGTCTACCATCGTTGGCTGGAACAGCTCCGTTGGCCGCTGGGCTCGTCTTGAGAACGTTACCGTTCTCGGAGACGACGTTACCATCGCCGACGAGGTGTATGTTAACGGTGGCTCGATTCTGCCCCACAAGAGCATCAAGCAGAACATTGATGGTAAGTCTTGGTTTTAAGATATGTTTGAATTTAAACTAACCTTGTTTCTAGTTCCCGCGATCATCATGTAATTCCCCCTTCAATCACGTCGCTATGCCCTAAATACCTCCCTTCGTCCCTCCTGCCGATACCACCCTTTCCGCCTCAATGCATAGAACCGGAGTCGTTTCCTGCGTTATCTTCTCTTCTGTTGCCGGCTTGCCTTTCCTCCGTCGGCGCTAATCGCCCTCGCACTATCCTTCCTTTCGTCTCCCGATGATCGATACATTCAGAAACCTAGATGGTGGAAGCCTGCGATATCGGCTGTCTTTTGCAAGAAATTACCCCTTTTAGTCTTCTCCCTCTTTCTCATTTCTTTTTTCTTCCTGTTCTAAGCTATCCCCGTTTTTATTGCCCTATATTGAGGTTTCATCACTCCATTCTCGCTTCCTTGCGTTGTTGACCACACTTTTGTTTCCACTTCTTTTCTATCTGCTGGTTTTTAGCAATTGGTGGGCAAGGAAATCATGCCATATCTGTTTTAATGAGATCATGGGCTTGGGCGGGTTCTGTTGATGTACATAATGGAAGGCGGATATCAAAACAAAAAAAGATGCAACTCCTCTGATCTTTAATATATGAATTATTGTGATTACCATTGTACATGCGTAGTTTATTACATGCAGATATGGATGTAGTATGTCGTCAACCATGCTGCAGAAGACAAGTCCTTCCATGTTGCTGTCTGCCAACCCCGTTCCGTGTCCAGGCCGGTTGCCTATGAGCTAGCTTCAGCTTGATCCAGGATCTCATCCCATTGAACACGCAGCTCTTCCATCTGCTTCCAACACTGGCGTCCGAGTTCCTCAAACTCCTCTTTCTGTTCCAGAGTCAAGTCCACTGCGCCACGCTTACGCCGCCGGACTCGATCACTCTCACTAACAAACTTCCCAACAACACCTCCATGCCCCCACCCATCAAGCTCAGTAGAAGCAATACTATCAACCCCAGACCGCGTGCAAGATGAGCCCCATTTCACTCGACCACCACTAGACAGATGATACGGCGCCTCAGCAGCGTCCACCTCTTCCTGCGTTCCAAGCGCAAGGAAAACCGGTGCACAAGCACCCAGATATGTCGACAGATTATGCCACGGCGAGCCCAGCATACGGGCAAGCCAGAAAGCAATGCACATACAATAAACAAGAGGAAGGGGAAGAGGGATAATAGCCGTACCGCAGATACCAGGATGCGAGAGATACGAGCGCGGCTCAGCAGTAGGCGGATCGGTATGAATAGCGTGCGTTTCAACCTCCGTCTCCGACTCCAAGAATCCATCCACGGCCCACGGAGCCGTACACTGCAAGTTAGACGTCAAAGCCAAGATATCAGTAAGAGCCTTGGAAGACTCGTACGGAGTGGACGACTTCAACGCCTGGATATCATCGACCTTGAACATCTTGATCGTGGCCTCGAGACTGGAAACCCAGACTACACGCCCGGGTCCGTGAATGCGAGCGCGCTTCAATAACGGCGCTACATTATGCGCCAGCATGTAATGGCCAAAGACGTTTGCGCAGAATACCGCGCCGAGAGGCGGTTCCTCGGGAAGGGTTGTTTGCTTGTCGGTGAGCACGCCGACGGGTGCGATTTTGAACGTCGGCCATGTTACTTGGTGGACGAGGTCGGTGCACACGCCCCAGATTGCGCCTGGCCAGTCGAGTCCGGACCAGCCGCCTAGACCGGCGTTTAGGATAATTGAGTCGAGTCTTGGGAAGGTGCGGATTAATTTGCGCGACAGTTCGCGGACTGAGAGGAGGTTGCCGAGGTCGACGCTTTCGTTGATGAAGTGGACGCGTGCTGCGGCGGATGGGGAGGTTGCGCTTGAGCGGAGGTGAGCTTCGAGTCGGCGATGGGTGTCTTCAGCTTTGCGGGCGCTTCGGGTTGTGAAGATTATTGTGAGGGATTGGGATTTTGGGTGGGAGGCGAGGAATTCATCGGCGAGGCGGCAGCATATTGAGAATCCGAGGCCGCTACGGAGAGTTCGTGTTAGTACTGGATATTTGGGGCAAATGGGTTCAATTGGGGGTGCTACCTGTTTGCCCCTGTTACCAGGATATACAGCATGTCTGCTGCCTCGTGAGGGGTCTCCTTATCCATGATTTGTTGTGTTTTTGGTGTCGGCAACTTTTTTGAAATCTCGGAGATAGGAGTCATGTGATAAATCTTCAATTGAAGATGTTTGAGGGGTGCAAGGCTAGCGCGTCAATTGCTATAAATGCGATATGCGAGCAGATGCTGGTCTCAGCCTTAAAACTGTAACACCACCGAGTGACAACGGTGGGTTCGTTCGGATTGAACTAGGGGGTTTGTAAAATAATATATTACACGTGACCTTATCCTTATCGCAACCTTCCGGAACTGTTGTGCTTCGTCATTCTCTCTTTCGTTACCTCGCATGGCTGAGGTCTGCTAATTCTCACCTGCCGTGCATTCGGCGCGCGGTCATGGCAGTCAGACTTGAACGGTTCATCAATACGACCGGATTCTTCTTCTTCGCCGTCATCCTCTTCTGCCTAATCCTCCTCACCCCGGCAGATGCCATCTACCAATGCTACGAAACACACCGACTCACCAACATCTTCTTCATCACCGGCGCATACGTAATTACATTCCTTCTCACAGTCCTCATATACTCGACGCGCATTTACACAAACCGGAACACGCTCACCGGCATCCCGAGAGCCTGGATTCCCGTGGAGAAGGAAGATGTGAACAGGAGCGTTAGACGACTGGTCAAGGAAGGCCTCGCCCGTAGCGCGGTAATCGCGTACCAGGCACGTCCACGCGATATCGCTGCCGACGAGGACAACTTCCAAAGCTACAAAGAGCTTCTGATCGACTCTGAACGACCCCCGTGGGGCCATGTCGAGCATCCCGGCTGGTCTTCGCCTGCTTCGCCAGATCTCCCGGATCTACCATATCGCACGGTCATCCAGGAATTGCCTAGCTTAATTGAAGCTAAAGCTGTCTCCCTTGCCCCGGCGGATTCGTTATCTACTGCGTCCCCAGACCCCTTCGGTCCGTCGAATGACCTTACGACGCATTCTCTCCCAGATACGCGTGTGGTGGAAGTGCTGCAACGGCCTGCTTCTATGGGGTTGAGAGAGTATATTCGGCACCTAACATCCCTGGGAGTAATCTACCCTGCTGAATTAGGTGCAGACTTTCTCGCGCATTACGAACGTGCGCGGTTCTCATCACGGGATCTGCATGAGGCGGATTTCCGTGACCTGATGCATCTCTTTGCTGAGGTCCTGAGAGGGATGACCACTCTCGCACCGCCGATTTTGGATGAGATATATGACAGCGCAAGCTTCCGACAAGCCTATACAGACTCTGTCATCGGGCCTTCAGACGAAGAGGGCGAAACAGATACTGTCGACAATTCTGCGTACGATCGGTCTTTGGAACCAATGCGCAGCAACAGCCTCCGCCCATCCAATGCGTCCACTTGGGACAACCTGTCTGGGTATGACACTGCACCCGCGATGCAAAGCCCTAACTCCGGCACGTCAATTGGAAGCGGCTCTTACATGGGACCGGGCCCTTTCCGCACGCCTTCTACAAGGTCCCTCCGACGTGTACGATCGGGTCGGTCTGGCAGCTCGACGGGTAGTGTCATTCGCCTGACACAGCCACGAGATCCTACAGATCTACCTTACACCATTGACTATGCTGGACGTAGGCATTGACGACATCCCATTCATGACATGTAAATTAGTTTATAGAAACCGGCAAGTGGACGGCTTTTGACCGGAAACGTGGGGGCTTAGTCAGCCGGAAACATTCCGATGCTTGAAGCTGCAAAATGATTGATAAGATCACAGTGCCATCGCGTCATCCAAGCAGACTCTTCCTTCTCATTGCAGTAATCTGTGCGCTGTACTCTGTAAAAAATGCATCTCTTCCGCCGAGGGGCATACTCCCTCTTCAACTCCTCGAACGCCTCCCTCGCCTCTTCCAAGACCGATGCCACGACCGACGCTGTGGGCGACAATGCCCTCGCCGCAGAGGGATTCCAGAAAGTCACATCCAGCGATAAGCTGTTTAGAACCGTCGACCCAGCTGTAGACGGGGAAGACTGCTTGCACGACTGTGCTACATGCACGGTCAAGTACCCCGCGAAATTCGATATCGACCTCCAAGACGAACTATACGGACAGGTCAATGGGTGGGCGACGCACCTGCTCGTCGCAACCGGCAAATCAGATTGGGTCAGAGATGTGGCAGATGAGGAGGGGAGTGTCATGGAAGCAATTGAGAAGGGAGGACTAGAACCGAGCAATGGGGTATGACGAGCAGCCAGGCAGCTGAAGCTCTTTGCTTGCCAGAGCCCAGAGCCCAGCAGAGCCCATAACCCACGGCACAAAACACCAGCTAACAATAACGAACCAGAGACTCAAGCTGTCAGCATCGAACATGCCTGTCCCAGACGAATACCACATGGAAGAAAAAGGGAAACAGCCAACAAACGTCCTCCTCCTGCCCAGCTTCACCGTCGTAGAGCACGTCACGCCGCAACTGGTTCCAGATTTGATTGAGAACTTTGTCAACAAATCCCTGACAACCACAACACCACTCGGTGGCGCATCGTTGGAACTCTCGCCTCCATCCTCCCCCGACAACGAACAAAGCGGCCAAGCAGAGCTGCCGCACCCATCCACAACATCCATCACTTCCCTCCACTCCCGCCCCTGCCCACACGCAGCAGTAATCCTACTCTGCTCCCAGCGCACGCGTGACGCCCGCTGCGGCCAATCTGCACCACTCCTCAGGAAGGAATTTGAGCGTCACTTGCGGCCGCTCGGGTTATACCGCGATATGGACGACGAGAGACCTGGCGGTGTGGGTATCTACTTCATCAGTCATGTCGGTGGACATAAATACTCTGCCAATGTGATTGTGTACCGTCGACGAGACTTCGACTGGTACAAGCGTGGTGCTGTTGAGGGTGTGGATCGTGAGGATGAGGGTGCTGCGCAAGGAATCTGGCTGGCGCGTGTGCGGCCCGAGGAGTGTGAGAATATTATCAAGTATACTGTTCTCCAGGGTAAGTTGCTTAAGCCTGGATCACAGTTGCGAGCTGGGTTTGATCGAGAGCGCGGTGTAACGAGTTGGTAACGTTGTTCAAGCTGGATGTGTTGAAGTTGTTGGTGTTGATATCATAGATCTATTGAGATATACATTGTGTATAGCTTCCATCTTGCATTTGGTCTATGCATTCATTTGTGGCCGATATAACATCCTCTATATGCGGGTCTTTCCCCCAGAGGCCAGGGTACAGCTTGCATGATTCATAATCCGGGCATCGCCGGAATTGAGTCTATATGTGATTTAGCATTAGAATATCATTGTTAAAAAAAAGGTCCAAAGTCCAGCCAAGCCACAAAACCGCTTATGCCCAGCTATGCCCAGCTATGCCACAGTCAGACCAAAAGCACGCTCTAGGGCTGTCCACGTCCGACTGTACAGACAATCTGACTGTCACGCCATACTCATACCGGCAGCATACCCATACCATACACCCCTCCAACCCATGCACCCCACAAAACAGCATGAAACAAGTAAAAATACATCCTCAGCGCAAGGGAACGATAATGCGCCGTGCTATCGCCACGTTAGTCGTTGCCGTGCATGCGTACCCGACTGCCGAGCCGGCATTGCATGGATAAGGATGAAGCCATCGGCGGCAACCCCCATTTTTAGCCCAACACAAAACGTCATACTGCACGCCCGTTAGTAAGGGTGTATCAGATGATAGAAAGGGGAAAATGGGGAAAATGGGAAGAAGCCAAGCCCATCAGCCGCCATCAGCCCTTGTGGTGTTGGCTCCACAGGGCTTCTAGAGAGACGCACTTGAGACGGTGATTGTACAGGATAGAGAGGAGATTTGTTACCCCCCTTGCACATGTACTGAGGGAAGAGAGAGCGGGTGACGCGGATTTGGGATAGGATTTTGTTGCGGGGTTTTGGTAGACGGGATGATATCCCTGTCTCTGGATTGTTTCTCTTTAGTTGGTACCAGATACAATCGGAGCGAGTTGTTGGTTAACTCCATATGCAGTAAGGAGGCGTACCAGAAACTGACTGGCTTTGGTTTTGATAGGGGCAGTAGGTTTGGCTTTCTCGCTTTCTTACTACTATCTTTTGAACCAAAACATGAATGGACAGTCAATACCTGCAAGGGGCCAAAATGGTGGCTGTTTGACCTCAAGCCCCAAGACCCTGCGGTGCCTAGCGCTGATAGGAGAAGTATTGCTGACCGACACTTCGCGACTATCAGACGAGCTGTGACGGAGTATGAGACCGACTGGGTTTTATTTCCGTGACGATTCTATAAGGTATAGATAGATGATCGTCCCGCTTAATCTATGTGAAGTTAGAACATGTTGTCCGGCTAGCCAGTCAAGTAGAGCGTGATTAGCATTCTACTGCTTCTCCTTGGCAGAAAAGGTGACGGAAATATTTACAGAATCGCCAGTCAGCTTGCCTGGTCACTTGTCAGCATGGGCGATAGTCGTCCGGACCTCGCCATGCGCGCGTCGGAGATTAATTTAGCGTGGCTTTTCGGAACATGTGGGAAGATAGTAGCGATTCTGGGGTTACGTATGGCTGGGAATTGTCTTTCATTGTTTTTGCTTCACATGGAGGTATGGGAACGTCGGGTAACGTTCACTATAGCATGACATATGTGTGTCCACCAGTCCTCATCTTCGTACATGTAGTTGATACTTTCCACCGTCAGCCATCAACTGCAGCTGTATCACTCGCCAAGTCGACTCAAAATGCGGGGTAGGAGAGAGAGCGAGAGTGAGAGCTTCCTCTAGGAACTCTATTGTCATGCATGTTCACACAGCTTCTCCCATGAAAAGCCTTACAGTGTACATGTACATGTATCAACTTCCACGGAAACGAGTGGATCTCTCTAATCGGACACTTGGCCGTGATCCCTGTCCGGACACCTTCTCCACGGCAAATGAAAGCTCGAACAAAAGGTTATTTATCCAGCTCCCTGGGACGATGTTGACTCATTTCTACATGTACATATATGTATATGTATATGTAACATTCTCTATTCTATCATGTGTGCACACCGGTTTTCTTATGCATCCGCGTCAAACTCGGCAGTCACATCCCACTTCTCCATGCAATGGCTTCTTCCTATCTACATATGCAATGTAAATGTATATTTATCAGTAGCTGTACTTAACCGAGCTAGGTCATATGCCGAGGTGATCGACGAGTCGGACAGCTCTGCGGAGTGAGTACCGTTTCATCTAGCGTGCAATCTAGTGAGTAAGTAGCCCCCCGAGTAGAGGATTAGAGCTACATGTGTTTGCAGTTTAAGTTATCTCTCGCTTAAGGGGTGGATCAACGGATTGCAATCTCACTCCTCCACTTGACGGGATTACCTTCCAAGGTTCTGTAGTGTCAACCAGAGCGCGTCTGCGAAATTCTGGACCCCATCCAATTTTATCGCCTAGAAAGGGGGCCGAAGAGGGCCGATGGGCTGTGCAAGCTAGCAGTGGCTGGATCTGTTGCGCTCTCAAATGAGTTTATTACAGGAATTACTTATTTTATTTTATTTCCGATTTTATTTTATTTTAATTCTTGTCCCAGGATATGTCGGATGAGCTCGATGGCTGAAGTGGGCTGCATCCATCATTCTAATGGAGGATTTCGTTGGCCCTCGAAACTGCACATGCTTTTTGCCTCGTACAGAGTGTGTACATCATCAGAGTTAGTCTGGATAGTCTGGGAAGGTCGATTGGATCTTGAAACAAGATCTGCGCTCCTCAGCCAGGGTAGCTGTGGCAGTGAACAAACAGGCAGGCCACTCGGGAAAGTTGTCGAAGTAGACAGGTGTCGATCACGAAAAAGGCAACGGAGCCTGATAGGCCTATTCCTATTGCGTGAATTATCCACCTCCTCTTTCTGCATTCCTCGTGGCGTATACTTCATCGACAAGGCCTAGTAAGGTTATAGGATCAGACGATCGCTGTTTAAGATTATCCTAGTGGATCGCCACGTTCAGGAGGTACCATGGCACCTCTTCTTTTTTTTTTAAATATACATGTAGATTGTAGCACGTATGGCTTTGCTATTTCAGCCCATGACGATAAAACGCTCTAGCATATGAGCATTTCTCGTGTCCTCACCGCATAGTTGCAGATCGAGGCGTCGCCGGTATCTCCGCTGAGCCTACACCCGGGCCAACCGAGGCTATCCGGACCCTCCTCTCTTGTGAATGAGGCGATGGTCCATGATTCCGAATGTCAAGCACATGGTTTGCCACAGAGTGTAGAGAGGAAGAGAGGGTATTAAAAAAAAGTACCATGCATTTGTTTCTGCCTGACCTTCCAAACAGACTTTAAGTGTGGCGGCAGGATGGACTTGGAAGCAACCTAGTGATGCCACTTACGTCTTTAAAAGAAAAAGCAAATATAATTGCTGGACATTATACGGTGAAGAGGAAATGACGCCCCTTGTTCACACTCACAACACAGGGATGTGGCACTCTCAGGTAGGGTGCATGATCAACGAATGAAATGCCCGAAAGTATACCGAGTTGAAAGTCTATCGCGCTTTTCATTTGAACCAGAAACACAACCCGTCAAAATGGGATTTCAAGAGAACCCCTACAGGTACATGTGTGCACCCTGTTGATCTGTGGATGTACAACATATCTCATCTCCGCGGCATTTGCTGTAGCCTGGAACTGTGGAGAGACGGGAACAGCCCCAACCTTATGGCAGATGGGGGTACCCGGAGCCTTAGACGGGTTCGGGGTGGACGAGCAAGCCGTTCCCGTAAATCTTGAGAAGCTAGGGTACCTGATTCTTCCCAGGTTCTTTCGGGATGGGCTTCATTATTCCGAGTCTACTTTGTCGCTGCAGAGTGATGCCGCGTCATAGGATATCCCTTGCAGTTATCGTTCCGCTCTTTGCCTGGGGTTGATGATTTACTTTGTCCTCGGTTTGCCTTTTTTTTTTCCCTTTCTTTTTTTTTCCTTTTACCTTTTCCTCTTTGGTTATAGTTTATAGTTTGCGGAGACATGGAGTGAGCTGGGGGAAATTACTTCCATATCATATACGTCTCCCGTCTATGGAGTAGCTTTACAGTATTAGAAAGTATATATGATATCATGTCCCAGGTAGGTATAGACTCATTCTCTCACCGAACCCAAAATCCCAATGTGAGTGGTCAACTGCGATATCCAACAACTTAATGGATGCTAATACTGTGTATTGTATGGTAATGTGGGGGTTTACCACTAAAAATAAATTACCCCTCTTAATTTCCTTTTTTATTGTTTTATTACTGGACTTTTTTTATTACTTTTATTACTTTATTACTGATTACTAGACTATTTTCTTATTTTACTTAGTACCCAGTACTTACTTCTTATATACGGTATCATCCGCGCCGTTTTTCCCCTTCTCAGACTCTCCAGATTGAGGCTCCCCCCTCTCGTATATTCCTATATTATGCGGGTTCGACACATCCCGGCTATCCATCCTGCCTGACCAGGATTCTTCTTTTCTTTTCCCCCTCCCCTCTCTAATCTTTCTCTCTTTGTCTTTCCTCCCATCATGGCTCCTGGTAGCGGCCGCGATTTTAACTGCACATGGGGAGACTGTAACAAGGTGAGTATTGCTTATTTGTCAAATACATTCCCCCCTAACCTGGGTGCAGTCTTTCAATCGCAAGTCAGATCTCTGTCGACATTATCGCATCCACACCAATGAACGACCTTATCAATGCACTGTAACAGATTGCAATAAGAGTTTCATTCAGCGCAGTGCCTTGACCGTACACTCGAGGACTCACACGGGCGAAAAGCCCCACGTTTGCGATCATGAAGGCTGTCAAAAAGCATTTTCAGACGTAAGGGACTTGGCACTGGGTAGACTTGTGCATTTACTGATATTTTTCGCAGTCGTCGAGTCTGGCCCGCCACCGCCGAATCCACACGGGTAAGCGGCCGTATATTTGCCAAGAGCCAGCATGCGAACGGAGGTAAGTAACACGAAGTCGTGAAAGATAACCCGTCTGACTGTAATAGTTTCTGTCGCAAAACGACTCTCACCAAGCACCAACATCGTTCCCACCCTCCAGGG